ATCATTCATTCGTTTTAAGTACCGGTACTAATGAATGATATAAAGAAAAAGAAAGAAAAAAAGCAAAGAAATGTAGGCGCCTCAGCACCTATTTTTATAGTTAAACTGTTGACGGCTCCAAGATGAGAGTTTTTAAGAATTACTATATAGGAAATCTTTCAAATAGTCAAAAAATGACATACAATACACATAATAACAAATTCTTGTTACTGGCACACCTAGCAGTGATGGAATAAGGAAAAACATTTTTTTTTAAAAATAAATCAGACATTGACAGAAAAACAGTGATTGATCATGTCAATAATTTTCCTCGTGTGCAAAATGCTATTGAATTATTTATTTTATTGAAAAAAATAGCAGAGCACTTTGCCTATGAGAAGCAGACTGCCTTCACCTTGAGCTTTGCACGGAAAAGAGATTTTTCAGGTCAATATTCCAGTATAAAAGCTAAAACTTCAAATAACACGGCAAAACTTCGGCCAACGGAAACTACGGGGGAGGTATCTGGGTCCGTCCATTAATTACGTCAACACTTTTAAAGCAATTTTTGCCCCCCCTTGTCAACAACTGTCAAACTTTCAATGACCCCCCTATTTAATTATGTCAACATTTTCTAACCACCTCTCCCCCACCAAAAAAAGGAATTATATTATAAATAAATTTAGATATACATGTTACTTTGTGCTGATCTATTTTAATGACCATAAAATTATGGGGAAAACATTTCATTACTTCTTTAGCCTGTTAATCAACAAGTTAAAAGTTTTTACACTTAAATTTTATGATGCAGAATCGATTGAAAGGTTGTTAAAGACAAAATATCATTGTTTGTGGTATAAATATGATTATTGTCAGTAAAGCTGACTATTATAGTACAGTTTCTAGCTGCTATAATCTTCCAAAGGAGTAGCCAGGCTTGCTCTATCGTAACAATGGGCATCAGGGCCATCATTTGGGTAGGGCAAGGGGGAATTTGCCCCAACCCCTTATTTACAGGTTTTATTTAAATTCCTATGTACTGTGGTGCCTCCAGAAATAACTGAACAAGCCGACCAAGTTTTGGTCTCCCCCCCCCCCCCAAAAAAAAAAAAATAAACAACAAACCCACCCCCCNTTTTTTTTTTTTTTTTTTTTTTTTTTTTTGCCCCCCCCCCCCCCCCCAAAAAAAAAAAATGAAATGACGCCCCAGATGGGCAAAGTCTATAGCAGCTGAATGATCATTTTAATCTTGTGGCACTAATATCCCAGACAAGTCAACATCATCCTCATCTAACCATTCACCACTTAAAATAAAAGCATTGTCGGTGTGAGCAATAATTGTCATAAGCTCTATCTATCTCCTCCCATTGGTCGAATCCTTTTTTTTTTTTTGTGGGGCGTGTGCTAATTTCTTACGCTCAAGAGGGCATTGTCGGAGCTGTTGAACATGCTTTTTCAACATGACTTGTGATGCAAAATAGGTCACCGTCTGAAGCAACTATTCCATGCCCACGGTGTCATAGATTATTCCGAGCAAGGATCGGTCTAGCAAGCCACCTACGAGCTCACCGTAATCCCAACCTCCCGTAACCGGATGACTCGATGGTCCTAGTCGACTTCGACGGACGAACAATATCAGATTTTGCAAATCCGTTCAAACAGCGATGTTATTATTGTTACTCACTTTACATTCCCCTAATTCTCAAATTATCGTATTCCTACTCTGTCAATACCATTTATCTTGACTGCACATGAACCTTGTCCTTGTTCCATACCTGCAACAGAATCTACAGGTGAAGAGAGGCCAAATTTTGACTTGTCTTGCACTAACAAAGTGTGCTAACATTCTGACCAGCCAAATGCAGTGCACAGACACATCATATAAATCTTATATTGTTAAAAGCCTACTAATTATATGACTATTTACACCCATTTACATTTATAAATTTTTAAAAATAATTTAATAACCAGTCAATATTTAAGATTAAAATTTTGATAGAGAAAAAAAATATTGTTGACGTCAACTAATCTACCCCCCCCCTTTTTTCCCCTTGTCAACAACTGTAAAGCATTTACACCCCCTACCCCCCCCCCATATTTTTTTTGACGTAGGGGGTAATCTTATTTGCTATCGCTTTAGTTATTAAATTTTTAAAAATAATTTAATAACCAGTCAATATTTAAGATTAAAATTTTGATAGAGAAAAAAAATATTGTTAACGTCAACTAATCTCCCCCCCCCCCTTTTTTCCCCTTGTCAACAACTGTAAAGCATTTACACCCCCTACCCCCCCCCCATATTTTTTTTGACGTAGGGGGTAATCTTATTTGCTATCGCTTTAGTTAATATTTTATAGTCTGTTTTTAGTAGTGATAATGGTCTGTAGTTTTTAGGTTGTGTTTTGTCTGGTTTTTTTTTTTTTGGGGGGGTAGTAGTTTGATGTATGATTCTCCCACGTTGTTGGGCGGTAGTTCTTTGTTCTCGTACGCCTAGCTTATCGCCAGTTGTAGGGGTGTGGTCAGCTGGGACGCGAAGTCTTTGTAGAATTCCGTGGTCAGGCAGCCCGTCTGGTCCGGGAGATTTCCCATTGTTAATCCCATCTAGCGCCGTCTTGACATCTATCCATTTTTTTCAACTCGGCCATCTGGGTGTCCTCCGGGGTCTTTGCATACCTGGTGTACGTATCTTGTACGTCTGGGTGTCTTCCAGGATCTTGGCATACCTGGCGTACTTATCTTGTATGTCTGGGTTCGTTTTTTCGTATAATTGTATGTAATAGTTGCTAAAAGCGTTTAAAATCCCATCGTTGTTAACGCAGAGCGCTCCTTCGTCGTCCTCTATAACTTTTATGTGATTGCTACGTTGAATGTTCTCTTCCACTGTTAGGAAATGTTTTGTATGGGCTTCTTAGTCGTCTATAAGTGTTCGGCTCCTCACCTGAGCGCCTTTGTATCTGTATTATTGTATTGTGTCTAATTCTTTTTCTAACTCCATAATTTCGGGGTCGGTAGGATCGGTATATTATCATAATCGGTATTTTGAGTTATAGTTCTTTTTCTCGCTCCTTCCTTTCCTTTTGTATTTTCGCAGCAATTGCTTAGGTGACTCCTTTGACTGTAGATTTGAAAAGTCCCCAGTGTCTGCCTGTGTCTTGGGTTGGTATTGTGGTTGTGCATTGTTTGATAATATGTTGTATTATGTCTAGATACTGGGGATTCGCTAAGAGGGTGTTATTGAATTGTGGTGACCTTCCCATTGGTTTATCGTTGGATCCGTTTATTTGCACTTTGACAAGTCTCCCAGGGCAACTCTCCTCCTATTTTTAGTTCTCCTCGCTGGTGTATGTGAGCTAAGAATTTTGGTAGTTCCCGTAAAATGGTTTTCCCTTGTTCCTATCTGCGGGTGCGTATATCTTTTAACTAGTGTGTAATTTTTGTTTTTGTTTGTGATGTTGTCCGTTGCTATCCTTCCGTCGTTGTCCTTTTCTGTGGTTGTTATTTCCCATCGGTCCGACGTTTGTATAATTGCCGTTCCTCCGCACTGGTGTGGGCTATTGCTGTAATGGGAGTGTTTGAGATTAAGGCCTATCTTTGAGGTGGAAGTCTTGGCTTCGTGTTCTGTTTTAATGTATGTTTGTTTCTTGTAAAAATAGATAGTCTGATCTATGCTTTTTAATTAGCTTAATGATGCAGTCTCCCTTCTCTCTGCATGTTAAGGGCGATTAATGTAAATGTAGTGTCAGCCATTTTACTATTCAAACGTGTTGGAGTTTTGTGGGTTTGGATTTTGTTTTAAATTGCTTGTTGAAATTTTTTCGTAAATTGTTCCTAAGTTTTTTCCTGGGTTGTTCCATAATTAGTTGACTGTTTTGTCGCTTAAAAGACATTTTTTTCAGGTGCGGATGATCTACTCCCACCTTTCACTACTAATCAAAATCAAAATGAAAAAAAATATATTTTTAAAATAATCAGCAGCAACTAGCAATGGTAGCAAATACATTCAGTGGCGTAGCTAAGGTTGGTGTCACCTGGTCCGGTCCGGTAGGGTGACCCCCTCCCGACTTCCACTATGCAATCTTCTACAATATAACAAATACACGAACAACAAATTAATTGAAGGTCAGGAAGTAATGTATACTACGATAACTAAATTATATAATTATTTTAACATTTGTTTACAATATAATTTATACGGTTGGGGGGAGGGATGTTTAAAATGGAATGGGCCTGCAGCGCTGCATAAAAAAAAAAATATTAAGAATCCCTGCTCTAGAGCATTTACTAAGATACCCCCCCCCACCCCGTGGTCAACCTTTTTTTTCCTGTTGCATCCCCCTTCCCGTGTCTGGGCCTGCAGAGCTGAATAAAAAAAAAAATATTAAGAATCCCTGCTCTAGAGCATTTACTAAGATACCCCCCCCCCACCCCGTGGTCAACCTTTTTTTTTTTCCTGTTGCATCCCCCTTCCCGTGTCCACATTTAGCCATACATTCTCACGACTGTCATTGTAACTACATTCCGAATCTCCTCCTACTTGGCATCCTGTAACTTGATCAGAGGCCATTTTTCGGACCTCGCATGCCTGTACTGATTCTCTCAGTGATAGTAGTTTAAAAATAAAATAATTATAATTGTTGTATAAAAGAATAATGTTAAAATATCTGTAATTTAGTGTTATTAAGTGCAATTCTTTACTACAATATTACGTTTTTCATGTGACGTCACATTGCCTGGAGGCCCCCCCCCCCTCGTCCCACATCGTCACAACAATCTGACCCCTCCCTCCCCTTTCTAGGTGCGTGACGTCATTTATGGATGGCCCACATACGTGCAAATAGAAAGGACTGAAAAAAATAAGTGCACAAATAAAAAATTATGGGTTTTCTAGCACCTCCTGTCTCAGCCTACTTCAATCCAAAATGAAGATTATTTATTTCAATTATTATTATTAGCATAAATATATATATCTTTATATTTATATATATTATACTCTACTTGACTCGGTGACTTACGATGGTTACGACATTTAGTATAACAGTGTTTCCTGTTATAATTTTGGACGCGGAAAACGTGAACACGGTGTGCGGTTGTTTACTACGATTTAAGAACGAAAAATCCATCAAGTAATAAATTAACCTAAAATTTGAATCGCAATGGTTCTGTTAGTTAATCATTCAGTTCCCACTGAAGGAATTCGGCACAGAGAGCCAAATGTTACGACTAATATAGAGGGAAACGATATTGGCTCAGGAACATTGTATATAACTGAAAGGTTAGTTATTGGCAATATTGGGCTGATGTGAAGAGCTGAAGAGATAGCACCCTTGCCCTTACGTCATTTGCGTGTTTTGTCCCTGGTTCCGATAGGGTCAAAACCCTGGTTCCGATAGGGTCAAAACCCAGGTTAAGGGTAAGTTTAGGGTTCAGGTTAGATTTAGAATTTAGGACATACGTTCGCAGGTCGCGGCAACCAAGAATGCAGCCACGGTGCTATCTCTCCAAATTTACTAGGACTAGAGCCAGAGCATTTACTTAACATACCCCCCACCCCGATGTCAACCATTTTTTCCCGTTCCATCCCACTTCCCGTGTCCACATTTAGTATACATTCTCACGGCTTTCACTTTCATTGTAACTGTAACTGTAACTACATTCTGATTCTCCTCCTACTTGGCGTTCTGTAACTTGATGAAAGTCATTTTTCGGACCCCTTAAACCTGTACTGATTCTCTCAGTGATAGTAGTTTAAAAATAAAATAATTATAATTGTTGTTTAAAAAGTTAATGTTAAAAATATCTGTAATTTAGGGTTATTTAGTGCAATTCTTTACTACAATATTCTGCTTTTTATGTGATGTCACATGGCTTGAGGCCCCTTATCACACATCGTCACAAAAATCTGTTGTCTCCCCAATATGGCCCCCTAAAGTATGAGTACTGAGCATGCTTGTGTAATAGTCAAATACATGACTCAGTTTTCACCTTTCTTTGTTCTTTTAAATTAGACCTAGGGCAGGAGTCACTAAGCCCTAAATGGTAAATAATATTATAATGTTAGCCTAGACTAGTTCAAGGTTGGCTGACCATACTGTAGGAACCTTGAATTTTACTAAGGTGAATGAAAAATTTCAGTTTGTATAAATTATAAATGAACTTATTAGAAATTAGACACCGTCAATTTTAGTTTATGTCCTGGAAAACTAGAGGCGTAGCTAGCTAGAGTGTTTGGAGTGGGGACAAGATTCATTTTAAAGAGCCTCCCTTTCGTTTTCAAATCTCGAACCCATTATTTTCATGAATAAAATAATTTCAAATCACATTTTCAAATTTCTAATGTTTTTCCGTGAGATTTGAACTTATGGTGCTAAAACATGAGATTGCCTTAATTCCATATTTAATCCAACTAAGCAGCTAAAAATCTATGTTCAAAGATTGCAGAGCGTTTTCTTTTAAAACTTGCATTTAAAAATGAACTTGTCCCCATAGCCCATAACTTCAAGCTGGATCAGATGTGTCATCCATTTTGAAGCCTGTGTCATATTTACAACCAGCTGCTTATGACATCCAACCTGTTTCTTTGGTGTAGATACAGATAGGATTTGGAATATGCTAGAATTTACATTCAGTAATCTTCTCCTGGCTATGAATATAATAAGTCATTAATGTCACTAAAGGGATTATTGATGGCTGATTTTTGACGCTAGAGAAATACTTTAGATGTCTTGTGTTTAAATCGTTATAATTGTAAAATGTCTTGGGTTAAATTTGTATTTATTTCTGTGCATACAATGAATATGTACAGTGTAATAAAAAACATTTCCATTTATTTGGATCAATAAAAAAAATCTTATCTTACCTTATAAAGTCACCATTACTAAGAGGTACTCGACCTCAAAGCCCACACAACAAACACAGTTTAGCTTTTCAGGTCTAGAGCGATACCTAGAACCCAGAGTAAGACCTTAACTTAATACTGTCTGGGGCAAATTCACAAACTTGTGACCTCCAAACACATCTATTATGTACTAATATAGTGTTAATAATAAAAATTAACAAAAGGGCTCCATGGGGGGTTGCCCCTTTGCTTCTCATAGGTACGCCACTTGTTATTTCATACTCATATAGTTGTAGGTCTCTGTTTCAACCCACCCTTAAAATTGTGGTAAGCCTAATTCTTGACTAAATTAGCAACTTTTTGCATGAAAAGATAGCCCACTGGCTACTCTATTGGTCTTTTAAAAATAGACTGTACAGATTTTTTCAATCACAATTTTCAAATAAATTTTCAAGATCTTTATTAATAAATTTGTCCTCACTGCAGCATTAATGTTCTATATCAATTTCTCAGTTTTGTTCTTTGGTTGAATGATGGGGATCAAGGGATTCAGCTTGAGTACAAGTTGATCTGTTTACATGCTATATCAAGAGATCGTCAGAACTTCCCCCATGAGCATCTTTTGTGTCATTATGTTGGCAAGCTTCCAGGTTTGCTAATTGATTATCTATTTTAATGAAATCTTATTGGCTTTCAATGCATCTTTAATTATCACAGCATTTTTTTGCCACAATCTGCTTACCACTATTGAGACTTTAATTGATCTAAACTTCATTGAAAGCAGTGCCATATTTAAAATGGGGCCCTAATTATGAAAAACTTAGATGTTTTTGGCTTAGGTAAAAAAAAACACCACCATGAGAAGGGTTCCATAGTAGTTATTTTTCCGTATACCAGTTCTCAGTTTAAGGAATCTGATTTAAAACCTGTTATTAAATTAAATTTACAATGCAGTCCCAACTTTCGCAATCATCAATGTTGTTATATAGACATTATATTTTATACATTCAAAGATGTTGAAATCTATTTTTAGAACTGTCGAAAGCAATTATTTCCTGTGAAATGTTGAAACCAAAGTTTTGTAATAGGAATAGTGAAGTGCTTCGCAATGACTGAATGCCCACAATGGCTAATTAATGACTCAAAGCATGCACTGAAGAAGCTAAATTTATTAAAAGTAACCAGACATTGTGATTTGCAAAATGTTAATTAAAATCGATCAAAGAAAAGTCTTTTATTTATTAAAGAGTTCTTGATTTTAAAATATATTTCCTCTTTCTAAAATGATATACATTTATTTGATTATTGTTTTTAAAAAATGAACAAGAGTTTATCATTTTCGATTCACCCTAAACCAGAATTTATCATGAAACTTAAAATACATACTGGAATGCTTCTTAATAACAAATTATAGAAAGGGGGAAAATAAAATTTATCTTCAGTGAATGTACTTTTAAATTATATTTTACAAGGCTTGAATGAAGACAATGAATCTGATGAAGAAAATGAAGATGATAAAGAATCAGAGAGCGAGTTGTTGGAAATCAGATTTGTACCACAGAACAAAGAATCATGTAAGTTTATAGTTAAAGTCTTCATGAACAATTTTGTAAAATCCATTATGCAACTGTTAAAAAAGGTACAATGTACACTTTAGAGTTTAATAATTTATAACATGCGCCAAAATAAACAGTACTGAAACTCATGCATTTTGAATTCTGCATGTGTTAGTCAATAGTGCATAGCTCCAACTGCCATATGTTCTTGAGTAAAACAAAGTAAAGTTAAACCTGAAGAAAGGAATGCAACAAGACAACGAATGTGTTGGCAGGAAGCCTTCATCAGCGAACAAACAGAAAAAACATAATATAATTTTAAAATAGCACTTAGCTGAGAAGTAGTATCTGAGAGGGCAGCAAATTAAATTACTGAAGGAGTTTGAAGATGGCAGAACAATTTTGCAAGAGTTTTAAAAGAAGGCACCAGTAACACTGTTATGCTGTCAGTTGATACAAAAGTTTGCCGAAAGGTACTCTGTCAAAGGATGGGTAAGTCTGATCGTCCAGTAAATTACTGTGCCTTACTTCGGACAACCACCCATTCCTATATAATTGATCTGGATTCCTACACACCATGGCCAAAAAACTGTAGCACAATACATCATTCTAGCTCACATTTCTGACTCCGGCAAATGTGGCCCAACCTGTATAGGTACTAAAATAAGACTACGTTTTATATGGAAGTTGATCTGCCATCTTTTTTCTAAAACAGTCATTTAAAAAAATATCTTCTCCTCTTTCGAGAAACATATGTCCAACAACTGCCTGACACATCTTCCTTTTGACTTTTGGGATCTCATGGCTGGAGCTATGCACCATTACCAAAAACATGATTAGTTCAAGATGCAGGAAATTCAGTACTGTTAGTTTTTTTACGCATACTGTATTATTTATGAAAACTGCACAATTTAACTACTTTCTATACATTTTAAGAACGTTCTTAACATTTAATTTAAGAGGAGCAGCACCTTTAAAGGTATATACTTTACTGCTAGAGTAATACACATCTTTATATTACATGCTCTGGGAAATTAGAAAGAAAACTAAAATTTGAGTCCCATTAATTTGCATGCAGTGGATCTTATACTTGTTGAATAATTCTATCACTAATTATAAAACCAGGGGTGTCTAACAATAACACATTATGGCGGGCATTATGATTTTAAATGGCCTACTAAGATGGAGACATGTATTGATTTGAGGGGTGGGGGGGCGCTATTCTGGAAAATAAAAAAAAATTAATAGCTTAAAATCTAAGTTAAATACATTATTGGTAAGAAATCACAAAAGAGAGCAAGAGAAGTTATAGCATAGGGGGTGGGATATCAAAAGCTTAAGGAGTAAGATGACTTGACAGGTAGAAGAATTAACTTTAGGTATGGTACATGAAATCTGATCAAATGTAGAACTATGAAAAGAAAAAACAATGTTATTGCTGCATTTGAGTTTTCTCGGGCTGCCTGCAACTTTATAAAAATAAATTGGTGGCCCACATGTCAGCACTGAACTCACTTAGAGAATCACCGCTATAACATATATTTTTGAACACTTATAGAACCATTGCTGAAACGGATATTTTTGAAAGAAAGTTTGAAGTATTGTAAAATAGCATATTATTGCCATTAGTTCATTAATACATTTCTAAGTTTAATCATATGATTGATGAGCTTTAATGGCAATATTCCATGTAAGTGTTGCTTTTTTATGACATTTTAAACAAAAATAATTTCGTTTGTTCAGTACAGCCTATGTTTGAAGCACTAGCAAATTGTCAGACCTTACACCCAGACAGTGACTGTCAGCTTTCTGGTGATGACTTTGAGGATGCTGATGATGATGGTAGTGGGGATGGTAAGTGTTATTGGTGGGACAAAACGTTCACTCAGTTCTTGAACACTGACTGATATTTGACTGATTTGCCTTACACTTGTCTATTTTGCTTTTTCTGTGAGAACCGTCATCATCAATAGCAATAAAAAAATCTATCAATACCCTATTTTCTCTTCATACAGAAGAATGAATGCTAAATACATTATATTAGTGCAGAATAATTTTTGTTATACAATTAGACTCATAATATTTTAATAGTTTTTTTTTATTTGCTTGTTATCATGTTCTTTAACTTTAATTGCGGGTTTAAACAAACAAAATCGTATCTTCAGATGTATTGCAAAAGAAAAATTATCTTGAGGCTAATGTTGTTCTTGAAGGTCATTGTAAAATCATAACCCTGTGTTCTTTTTAAAAAAAATATTATAATTTATCTTAACATCTGAGATGCCTAACACATGCTCAAGCTACAGAAAATATGTGATATCACAAGCTATGAATCATTGTTTCCCATGTTCAGTTATCAAAATCATATTACCAACATTGTATAAATGCATGCTAGTCAATGCTATACATACTTTTCTCAAATATTTTTTTACCCTACTTTAGGAATTTATGGCAGTGAAGATGGGGTAGCACATCTGACAGAACAAGGCAGAAATAACCTAGAAAGGCTAAACCAACTTTTGGATGCAGGCCAGGGGGATGCTGATATTACCACACGCACAAATCTCATACGAATTGCAAATGGTAACTTCACAATCCTTGAAAATATTTGTTCAAATTCTAAATTTATATTAAGAAACCTAGTTATTTTTTAGAGTTAAGTTTTTTTTAATCGAAAAAAAAAATATATATGTATACTTTAAAAAAGGTAATACTATGTTTCGCAACTAAACATTGATTTAATTTTCTTTGCTATTGTAAGAGAAGTATCTTTTCTAGACTTGGAGTTTTCCAAGATATTTATTTATTTATTTATTTAGGCATTTTTATATAGCGCTTATCATAAAGCTCTAAGCGCTTTACAGTTATTAAAACATGTAAATTAAGTAAATACAAATGAGACACTAGGATAGTAACCACTATTCTATAGAAACAATGAAAATGGCTATAAAAAGAGGACACTTTGAAACAGAAAATTAGGTAGGGCAAGGAGGGTGCATCACAGGTCATAGGCGGACGTAAACAGATGAGTTTTAAGGGACTTTTTGAAAAGGGACGAGGTTTCACTATGACGTATATGGAAGGGGAGCTGGTTCCAGAACGTGGGCCCATGGAAGCAGAAGGAGCGTTCACCGATGATCTTAGTTTTAGTTCTTGGGATTGAGAGGGTTCTACTGTCAATGGAAGAACGTAGTTGTCTTGTGGGGATGTAAGGAAGCAACAGTTCAGAGAGATAGACAGGAAAGTGAGGGTCAGTGAACGAGTTGAAGCAAAGATTGGAAGACTTGTATTTGATGCGAGAGGATATTGGAAGCCAGTGGAGTTGCCGCATGTATGGTTGAATGTGGTCATGTTTCTTTAATTTAAAAATGAGTCTGCATGCTGAGTTCTGTGCCTTCTGAAGTTTTTCTATGTGGTGTTGAGGAATGCTTGAGAGAAGAATGTTACAGTAGTCAAATTTTGAAAGAATGAGTGAAGAGACGAGAGTTTTTGTGGCATCAAAGGAGAGGAGGTGTCTAATGGTGCTGATTTTTCTAATTTCGTTATATGCTGATCTGCATATATTCGTGACATGTTTGTCCATGGAGAGGGTGTCCGTAAGAGTGACTCCAAGGTTTCTGGCAGAGGGAGAGAGTGTGATGTCAGAGTTGCCAATAGATATAGAAGAAGGAGCGAATGGAGGGAGAGGTTTGTTTTGAGAGTGGATGAGAAGGATTTCCGTTTTATCATCATTTAGCTTCAGTTTGTTGCAAGTCATCCAACGCTTTACATCGTCCACGCACTCCTGTATGCGAAGGATTGTGGCATCAAGTTGATCAGGAAAGCAAGAGTCACTGATTTGAGTGTCATCAGCAAAGGATTGACTGGAAACTGAGTGGTGGCTAATGAGAGATGATAGAGGTTTAGTGTAGAGGATGAAAAGGACCGGCCCAAGGACCGATCCTTGAGGAACTCCAATAGACAGGGCTGAAGGTTTGGAAGAGCGGTTGGAAATAGAGACTTTTTGAGTTCTGTCAGAAAGATATGATTGAAACCAGTTTAAAGCTGAGCCAGTAAGTCCGAAAGAAAGATGAAGGCGGTCAAGAAGAATCTGGTGGTCAATGGTATCAAATGCAGCAGAGAGATCTAACAGAGTGAGAATAGAGAGTTTGCCATCGTCCATCGCGCGCAGGAGGTCACTCATGACTCGGACCAGTGCTGTTTCTGTGCTATGACCAAGTCGGTAGGCAGACTGAGAGGAAGGATAGAGATTGCGAGAATAAAGATAGCCAGAGAGCTGAGAGAGTATGAGTTTTTCTATGATTTTTGAGAGAAAGGAGAGGTTGCTGACGGGGCGGTAATTCTTGAGTGTGTTTGGATCAAGTGAGGGTTTCAAGTGAGATATAAGTTCCATGTCTTGTCCGGACCAGAGAGCTCAATTTTGCTGTAACCCACAGGTCATTTTTAAATCCACTGCTGGTGTGTATGGTCATCCAACAGCATCTCAAAGTTCACAGTCTCAAACCAGTTGCCTGTTTCTACAACTAATGCAGCTATACTCTTATAATGAACCAGAATCAGAACATATTGAGCTATCAGACTTGATATTTAACAAACATTCATGAATTTTACTTGTCAGTAACCTCATATATTACTTTAAAATAAATAATTGTACAGTAAGTAGGAAGTTTGGGTAGATAAACAGTTTACAAAATTTAGTCATTTGGTTTCAGCCCAGTATTTACTTATCAATGCAAATTTTGAAATCTAAAAGTTGTTTTTTTGTTGCTTTTTTTACAGGACATGATGAAGAACCACCAGTGGATTCAGAACAGTTTGAAGATGCTGACAACATGGAAGAGTAATTACTAAGAAATATGTGTGTGTTTGTGAGTGTGTGAGTATGAGTTTTCTTTTGCAATATATTGTTGATAATTTGTTGAAAATCATTTTATGTTGTTTTTTTTCTTTCTATTGTTAAAAAAACAATAACTTTGTTATAATTGTTAATTTGGTTTTTTAAATGTAAAAATAAACAATTTTATTTTTGTGGACATGCTCTTTTAAATAAGAAAAATGTTACATTGATATGTTGCTGCATGCATAAGTACTAGGACAAATGTATTGTTTACTTGAGCCTGTACAGATTAAAATGTTTACCTATTAAATTGCATTCATTTCTATTTTACTTATGTTTTTGTTGTAGTCTCCATCTTATGTGTGTACCACTACAGAATTTTGTGACAAATTTATTGTTTTTTTTCTGTTTATCATAAATGGGACCTTTATAATTTTATTTTACTAAAGAAACAATTTTGATTGAAAAGAACAAAAACCTGCAGTATTTTGCAATTTTTATTTCATTAAATTTATTAGCAGCAATCAGTGAAAATGATAGATAATGTAATGAAAATACATATTTCAAATAGGTTATAATTTAATGAAAAAGAATTCAAAATTCGTTTTACAAAGTAATTCAAGGTGAATTATTTACCTTGCTGACCTTATTTAAGTTACACAAAACACATTGAAATCCAATGTGTATATAATATTATAAATATATATATGTATGACAGAGACAGCAGGATCATTTATGTTTTCGGTTCAAGATATAAAACTGAGATTCTTTTACATAATGACAGTTACCCACTTTAAAGACCTTAATATTTAATGGTAAATAGTTTTACAGAACTATTTTTAGTTTAAAAATTTCATTAATGCAAATATTGTATTGCTAACAGGAATCACTCCATTCAGCACCCATATACCTTATATGGGAGAGATTCTCAAAGCATTTGCTTACCACATCATTTTTATCATATAGCTGTACAAAAATAGAACACTTTATTTTTGGAGAGACTTAACTTTTAAAAATTTTTTTAGTCCATAGTAAAATGTAGAGAATGTTTTGGTATTTCTTTACTCAGGGCGGTCATTTCTCCTTTCAACTCATTCATGAAGCAGTGTTAGATAAGGGCAGAATATCCTCATAGGTCACCGTTGAGATTTGTTTCTCTGCAAGTCGCAAGCCAAGATATCTTAGTCTCATCAGGTAGTCTGAGTGGAATTTCCCATCTGTGTAGTCCATAAATCTTCTGTAGTCTTCTTGAAGTGCCTGGATTAATTTCACAAGTCATGACGTAAAGCTCATTTGGTTTATATAATATTGATACAGAACATAAGACTGGTGAACTTAGTCTATGAGAATCTCAGTAATATATTACTATTAACTATACTGTTGGTCTTGCTTAATATTTTATAAAAAGAAATGTGAGGTCAGATCTGGCTATTTTTGCCAGAATTACAAAACATAGTTTTCCACAAACCCAGAAGACTATTAAAAACTAAATGTGCTTAGAAATGAGATTTTTTTTCATGCAACTAATGTAACTATAACACATCACATTAGAATAACTATAGCTGTGTGAATGTAAGTCTTCAAGATGATATATTCCTAATGTCACAGGGACCATACTAATATATATTTAAAGACTCTGATTTCAATACTGGAAATAATTTGAATAAAATATAGTCAGCGGTGTAGTGAGTGTTAGTGCCGCCAGGGGAGGATCAAGATTTTGCCAGTTCCTCACCCCCAAAAAAACTGGAGTTTGCCCTCAAATTATAAGGGACAAAAGTGCCTCCTGGGGCAGACTTCCCGCTCGCCCCCACCCTTCCTAGGCCAGTGAATATATTGAAAAGTTTTAAGGGGGTTTGTCACAATATTAAATTGCATCCTTTCAAAAATCGTCTTTCAGTTGTACTTCATTTTTCAGTAACAAAAAAAAAACCTATCACACTGGCCAAATCTAAACAGCTAAATAGCTCATGTACCAACTGGCATTGGAAATGCACTTGCTAGTAGTTGTTTTTTAAAAATTATTATTTCAAGCAAGCCTAACTTTTTATTATTACCTGAAAATGTTAAATCATCCTCAAATAACTTCTTTTACGTAAGTCCAAAAATTATAATGCTTCTCTTACCCTAAAATCTCTCTCAACACGTTCCTTGTGTTCTAGTTCTTTCTGGTACTTCTTTTCAAGTACATCAAACCTGAAACATGGTATAACACGTTATTTATAACAGTCATTGGGCAAAGAAATAGAAATGAGATGAGATAAATAATCTCATGTAACGTAACAAGTTGAAATAATTCAATGTGGCATGAAATTATATTTAAATTTTAAAACATCATATGTCAAAATGTGAAAAAGACAAACTTTTCAGCTGAAATGCTTCTTCGGGGAATTAAAATGAAACCAAAAGAAATACCTAAATAACAAAATATACAGGAAACAAGTTTCGGGGATGCAAATATAAAAAAAAGGCCAAGTGGAAAAATGCATTAGATTGGTGCCTTGTGCTGATATGATATTTTGTAATAAATGACTAAATTGACACAAGAGTGCAAACATATCCTCAAGACTTACTTGAAATTGAGTCGGTCCACGTCAGCTTTGTGAAGGGCTGAAACTCTTTCAGCTTCCTTTCTGGCTGCTTCTTCACATTCTTTTCTGGTCCTCTCTATGACCTCTAGTTCACGCCTTCTAAATGCCTCCTGAGGATGAGCAGAAATTAATTTTACCCAAAATCAAACTGTATTTTAAGTGTTTACATATAGACGTGGGGGAATATCACAAATATCCACAGCATACATCAGGGGAAACTAATGAAAGTTACACATAATTAATGAATTGATCTGACTGTATAAGGATAACATTATAAAGATCCAATTTTGAAAAATAAATCACCACATTGCCAGCTTTTTGAACAATATCTGCCTCGTTTGTTTTCAACTCATTCCCAGTTGTTTTTTTGTTTTTTTAAAACTTACTTTCCATTGTCTTGGAAAGCTAATTTTTTTACTCTGCTTAGTCTTGTGAGCAATTTAAAATGATAAAATGTGATACGAATTACCTGGCCGTTAAAATCACAAAAAGTCAATAAGAAAGGGATGGCAGATTTGCATTTGTTATGGTGTGTACTGTTGGCATGACTTTACTTGATGAAGGGTTTCATGTCACCCAGTGCTGTGAACTCATGATGTCACCACCACTCATGACTTCCCCCATGGAAATACTCTGTATCTGCCTGCTCTGGGGACACCCTGTTCTGGTACCACACTGCTCTCTTATTTAACTGAGTTCTTTTATGAAAACCCGAACGAGCTAACTTTTTGATAAATTTTCAATTTTCCATTTGGTGTCACTCACCCCCCCCCCTCTTTTGTGAGGGTGTCGCCCGCACACCATTAGTGACGCTACCGGTGTGAACAGGTCGATGCTTATCCCGGAGTTGTGTCATGAGAACAAGTGCACTAGATTTGTGAGAAGGTGTCGAGGAAATAAACAAGCATGGAAAAAAAAAACCAATCAAAGGATTTCTAAACCGCACCCACCTTGGCTTGCTTTAGAGCCTCCGCCACTGCATTATCTTTCTCTACGGCGAACTCACTCCTCAACTTTTTACGCAACGCCGCGCACGCCTCTTCAACGGCGATCTGCTTCAGGCGCTCGCATTCCTCCCATTGTTGCTTGAGTGCATCCTCTTTCTCAGCCTCCAACTGTTTCCTCAACTCTTTCATCCTCTCGGCCTCTGCCTGGTCGCGCTGGTTCTTGATTCTGGCAGCGAGGCGTTCACAATACTCAAGAAGAAAGTTCAAACAAACAAATCATTTAATGAGGAAAGGCTGCCAGGTGACCATGAGAAACGATGCTCGATGCTTATTCTTTAACCCCCACCCCTAAAAATGATGTGTCAAAAAGATTTTTTCCCCGCCGGCTGTTACAAAACACAAGTCTTGATATTATTTCATTCTAAAAAAAATCCAAATGTTTATAAACGATTTGCTATAATCACTTATAAAATAACATCAAGCGTTATAATTTTTAATGTGTCGAAATGAATTCATAATTGCTACTAAAACATCTGCGTTAGTGGCGGTTATACGAAATAAAAAGTAATACAGTGTGTTTTATTAGTGCTATCAATTGCACTTTTGTCACGTACGTTTTAATGTCTTTTTTTACCCAACATTGTCCACGTCACAGTTGAAATGACATGCTTGACTGACCGAGCCAGAAGAAAAGATATATTACTTGCAATTTATTTACGCTTATGTTTGTTTCTCCTTTGTTTTGTTAATGAAAAAAATGGCAGATTTTTTAATGACTATTTTCTGTCCATTTTGGGAAGCTCTTTATTGACCCCGTTACTTGCTCAAAACACCGCAAAAAACGGTAGAAAATTTTAATAACTGTTGAGACTCACCCATTTCTGCTTCTCCAGAGCACGCGCTCTCTCCTCGTCCTTCTCCTGTCTCAGCCTTCTCAGAGCGGCTCTCAGCTCGCGTGTTGCGCGTGCCTCTGCCGCGTCCACAGCTTCTTGTATCGCGTTCTCCCGGCCCTTGTTGTCGCCATGGCTACTAAGGGCTAGGATCTTGTCGCCAAGCTCTGGAAAAAGTGGATGGCGACGTTGTAGTGAATAGAGCAGATAGGTCTTGCCACTGGCTTAGGAAGTGGGGTGCGGAGGGCTCCGCCCCGGTTAAAACTTTTTATCTAAATATTAAACGGTTGGCATTTTCGGCCAACTGCAGATTTTTTTTTTCAAGGAGGAGGGGTTGTACACATTTGGCCCGTCCCAAGCTGCACTAACGCCAACTGCGCTACTACGTCTTGATATAAAACAAAACAAAAAATTCGCGCATGCATCCCGATAGATAGCCTTTATAATTTATAAGGTTGCACACATGTAATCTAGAATAGAGCTCTTTGTATAAATTAGGACCAGTATCATTACATACTTTTGATTTTGGTCATCTTTGCTTAAACGCGACAATGTTGACAGCTAAGTCACTCTGCAAACAAAACTCGGTGACCCCTTTTAGCTTTAGAGCCGGGTTAAACCTTATGGGGAAACGGGGTGTTGGATTTATTAATAGCTATTTATAGATTCCTCAAACTAAGATAGTACAAGTCAAGATATAATAGCATTCACTTGCAGAATGTGAAATTTTGACGAGACATTAACGTGACATTAACCCTCCTGTTCCAAGGAGGTTTTGGATCGAAACTTGGGAGCATCTCACGGTTCTTTCAAATGACCACAGGCCACATTATAAATTATATTTTTTATGAAACAAATTAGAAACACAACTTGCGCGTTACTGTGACGTGATCATGTTCACCGGGGTTGTGTTTGAATAGTTCTGATAAGGCCTTTGGCATGAACCCAACATGGGCACGCATTAATTAATTAACAAATCAATCTTTTTTCAAGCTTGTTGAAGTTTGTTTAGGATAAATTACAGCCGGGCTGTAGTGGGATTTTTTTCTCTCTTCAAAACCAACGTGATTTTTTTTTTTTTTTTTTTCGTGATTAAGATGTCATCGATTTTGAACAATGCCAAACGATAGTTTGTTGGAAACAGTCATTATTTTAATGCTGGACACGAGGAAAAAAAAGAAGCGGTTTAGTTCTTCCCCCCCCCCCCCCCCCCCCACCTCCCCCCCAACCAGCTATTTTTTTCTTAGACACACACATATTATATCTATAGAGTCAAAAGGGGGATTTAAAACAAAGCAGGGATTTTATTTCATTTTAAATAGAGTTATCATGTTAAATAGCTTTCTTGTCGGGCCTATTCCATTTTAAAAAGTCATCTTTAACTTAAAGATGACTTTTAAAAAAAAATTTAATAAAGTAAAAGTCGTTAAAGTAAGATAAAGTTTAAGTTACTTTAACAACTTTATTACATTTTTTAAAAAAAATGTGTGGGGGAGGGATAGTTGATTATAATATATTTTATATACAATTTAAAACGTTCCCTTTAATAACACAATTTGTTTGGGGGGGGGGAGGGGAGGGGCAGTTTCTAAAATAGTAAGGTCAAATATGAATGAGATATTATCATATTCATCAAATACTTATGGCCATATGTGACAAAATAATGGTTTTTACTTCTCATAAAACTCAGGGTAGTGTAATTACAGTGATGCTGCAGCTGTGGGGGTATTTGGAAACATGTTTTTCAATGATTAATACAAATAGTCCACTCTTCCAACATGTCAAATCTAATTCAAATGGTATCATTTAAAAAGAAAATTTCATCGGGCGCCTGCCATCCACTTTATCATGCCTAGCTTGTCACCTAAAATCAGCCAAAGGGAATTTGTGTGCAGGACAGCTCTCAAGGGAAGTAATAAAATTGTGCAGCTATGAAAAGCGACCACTGCCAGTAGACTTAGAAGCTATTCTCTAGACGTTTTCGTATTGAGAAATCGACCACTTTCCAAATATCAGCGCCATTCACAGGAAATAATACAACCGATCGATAAATCGATAGCTAGATATAATCGTATAATCTTGTTCCGTGAGGGGGACTCCTTATCACGAGTTTCTTACCGTACGGACGACAGGTTTAGGTGGAGTGCCATGCAATGAAAGGTATTGTGGTAGTGAAAGGCATTGAATGACTCGTGTGAAGGAAGGGCCGGATTCCAGATAGGAGCGTCATGGTACCACGCTTTTCTGTCTTTTTGATATGGAAAAAAAAAAGACACATCACTCTACTGAGACAGACCTGTTGTGCGTCGTAAAAAAAAAAAGAGCAAATTTTGTCTAGAGTCTAGAAGAAGACGGGTACTTTTTAACAATTTTTTTTACTCATAACCCCCTAAGGATACGAGTAATTATTTTTATTATATTTTTGGTAGGGGGTTCGGTGTGATCCACCGCTGCTGTTATACCTTGTTGTACGTGTGACCGGTGTTGCAGTAATATAACACACACACTCACATGGATACAGAGGCGTAGCTAAGGGGGGCAGAGGGGGGCAGATGTCACTTGGCGCCAGACAAGTTAGGGGCGCAAAATGTACTTTGCCATTATTTTACTGATGAAAATAGTGGGTTTGAGAGTTAAAAAAAGAAAGGGGGGCACTTTAAAGTGAATCTTCTCACCGGGCGCCAAACAGTCTAGCTACGCCTCTGCATGGACACATCAATAAAGAGTACCTGGTATTTTGCTAAGTATATTGAGACTGAATGAAAAGAAAATTCTTCACACATAGCCTTGTTGATAGACACCAATGCACATTCATTGAAACTGCACTCTTATAAAAAAAAATGGCATTGCTGTTGCAGGCTATGTATATTATTATAGAAATAATCTTAAACATTTCAGTTGTATGACTTTCAACGAGGGCACAGGTCGTGATTGGTATCGTCGCTCCATTCCTATTCGATAGATGTCCGTGCTATGTACCGCAGCGACTTTGTGCTTTCCTTTCAGTTTCAGTTTATTAATATATCGAGTCACGCCAGAGACTACACGCATATTTGTCTTCTCCAAACTTTTACTTGTAACTTGTTAACATAGATAATGACCGGGTTTTTTTTTATAACCATTAAGTCTATCCATGTATTTATCATGATGTATCCGTTTTCGTCATTGAAGTGCAAGAAACTATTGCTGATGAATGGTGAAGCATTTGTAAAGCCTTGAACGTGCTGTCTCATTAAATTACTTTTATTATTTTTTTAATGGCAATATTGCGAAAGGATGTAACAAAAAGTATATAAGCAAATTTTCATGAAATACAAGAGCACTAATTGTTTTGTAAGTTGCAAGGTCGTTAAGTTGGTGTGGGCGGTGACGGAACAATAAAAAATATGCAGTATCGGGACTGTAGAGGCTTAGAGAGCAGGGTATATCCATTGTATTTGCGTAATTGAAATGTATGTACTGTGATAAATAACACATATCTTACCATCAATAAAATATAATTGTAAAATATTTTCGGTGTCACTATCGTCAATGACAGTGTCACGCGATTTTTCATCAATTCCCACCTTAATTCTTTATTAAAAACCATTAAAATGAGCTAAAAGAATGTGACAAGAAACCCCTTTAAGGCGCTTGAATGGGCTCCAGGCCAGAGATAAAAGATTGAACTATTCTACAATAACAATTCATCACTAGTCTAAAGCTGGGATTTTAGCAGGCATTGGTCAATAATCCGTTTGGGGATACTCACACAAAATAATAATGGAAGGCTTGGCCATTGGTGACTGAAATTTGAGGGAATATAATTGTAATTAACATGCACTTTTTTGTTGTTGTAAATTTTGGTTTAGAAAGTGAGTCAATGTTTCATGGGCCGAGCAGGAGCTGTACCCGGGGCGAAGCATGAATTCAAAAACCCTCTTCCCAAAAGACTTTGGTGTATTTGGACGATGCCGCCCCCTTCACACGACCCTATTCATAAGACTTATCTAAGGGTGGCTAAAAAGTATTAGTCTCATCATTTATTACAAATTTAATATCCAGATTTCTATATGATCTTACCTATTTAAAAAAAAATGTTTTACGTCAGCCACACACGGTTTTGAAAAAAAAGTTAGCCGCGCAAAGCTATGTCTAGTTCTTTTCCAGTTTATTGATTTAATTCCCGCTAAAGCTCTCAGACAAATACTTGATGTAGTACTTTGAAGAAAGAACTAGTAAATACAGCGTTATCTAACACTCTGCAATGGGCGATAATGGCATAGACTACGCGAATCTAGGTACAGGGCTCCAGACCAGGGCACAATTTTTATGAGTCCGATTTCTATAGTCAGCCTTGTAAAATTTCAGGACCGCCGCAAGGATTACTAAGTGCTGGAACTAGACTAAAAATGCCCCCCCCCCCCAAACCTAAACGTGGAACATAAACCAATAAAGCTATGGTTTATTAATTATATTCAAACATACTTGCTAAGATATTAAAAAGGGGACATGTACTTTTGTAAAAGATATCAAAAACAATAATACACATTAGTATGATATAAACAATAATGAAACAATACACACAAGCACGAATTAAATATTAGATTAATTACATTGAAATGTCATTTATATTCTCCTAAACAAAGGTGCTTTAGGCATATTTCCTGATCAGACTCAATACCGAGTCTTGCCAAATCTAGCAATCACCCCCGTAACATAGTCGATCTCCGATAATATTTTATCAGTTTTAATTTGTTGAATGGGCGCTCTGCATAGGCGACAGGAACAAATTGTCTAAAGTATACAGAGACAGAACACAAATATTTGGAAAGAAACCTTCCAGCTTGTATCTTTTCAAGCAATTCAGAAGTTCCAGTGCGGACTCAGTTGGTCCTCTCCAAAATTTGCTTGGTGAACAGATCAGCGGGATATTGATATGGCAGTAATTTTGATTTTTCTTTCAGCTCATCTTGAGGAATTGATAAATACTTCCAGAGGAAGCTGAACTTCTAGGGCACTGCATCACTGAAACGAACAATGAGTCGACCAATAACATTATCCAACGTTACACAGAAGACATACTTCTTGAAATATGCTTTCTCTGGGGACTCCTCCATTTCATCTTGTTTAGACAAATCTGCGTCTTCTGTAGCACTTTTAACATGGAACCTCTTTCTTATGAGTTTCGCTTCACCCGAGTTTCAGAGAGCTTCAATTCTTTATGAAAAGACAACCAATACACTTCTGCAAGATTTCTCAGCGATGTGGACTAGAACTAAACAAGTTGTAAATAGTTTGTACAGTTCCAACGTACAGGAATGCATCACGTGGCCTCATTTCCACATAAGTGTGTTTTAAATTACTGGCATCCACATGGTGAAAATAAAGATTTTTCACAGTGCTCAAGTATGCTTCCTTGAGTACTCTTATATTACCTGCCATGTCGGCTACATTGACATATACATATGCACGGACAATCCAACAGTGGAATATTGGGTTATTTCGATTTTCAACTATCATTTGTGTTATATCAGATCCTGTTTTTTTTTTTTTTTTGCTGGTGTGGACAAACTAAAAATCTTCCTAAAATTTCATACTGGTATGACACCAGGGTACAATCCAACAGTGGAATATTGGGTTATTTCGTTTTTCAACTATTTTTTGTTTTATATCAGTTCCTGTTTTTTTTTTTTTTTGCTGGTGTGGACAAACTAAAAATCTTCCTAAAATTTCATACTGGTATGACACCAGGGACATCATTTGGGTAGGGTAGGGTGGGGAATTTGCCTCTCCCCTTCCCCCCTGAATTAGCGGTTTCTATCTAAATTGCTATGTAATGTGGCGCCTCCAGTAATTAACAACTTAACAAGCCGACCAAGTTTTTTACCCCCCCCCCCACACACACACCTGAAAAAACTGAAATGACGCCCCTGTATTACACCATATGTTAAATGTAAAAAAAACAACAAAAAACTCAACACACACAGAACGCCCATTGAATTCGACCAGACACAGTGGTGAATTATTAAGCTTCGTGCAAGACTGGTCTGCTTTTGTTCCATTGTGTACTGAACATGTTTGGGTTAACGGCCTTTGTGGCGCTAAGCAAAGATAATGACTGCTACGTGATATTGTTCTTATTACGGTACAAGTACTGGTAAGAAGCCAAAATTAATAATTGACCCGAATGAACGAGTACTAACAAGTTCATGTAATAAGCTCGGCGGCGGATTCTTATCCAATGTTGTGGTATGTGACCACCAGTCCATTTTCTGAGAACTTCAGAACTTATATCGAAATAGATGTATTTTTATTTTGTGTTTTAAAAAAAAAATATTTAAGTGTATTCTATTAATGTGACATTACAATCTGTATCAGGATGCCAGACCAATTAACTCTTACGATTTCGGCGTACAATGTACAATTTTGAGATGTGCACATTATATATTCTGTATTTTAATTTTATTTTACTATAAATATAATGTAGTGAACGATTTTGTGATGATGTTGTACGATTTTAAGAGTTTGAAGGTAAACAAGTCTGGGATGCTACCAGTTCTTGTAAGGGGCCACCCATCTGTGACGTCAAGCTATTTTGGACCCCCAACCCCCATCGTCACATTTGTCACAAAATTTAGACACCCTAACAATTCATCGTCCCAAATGCATGTCCCCCCCCCCCCACACTATTTTTTTAGCTGTGTGGTGTCATTTATGGATGACCCTTATTACTGTAATTGTGTGTATGGCTCAAAGGCACGCCACTGAATAAGCTCCTGTAATTTTTGGCAAGTTTGCAAAGTGTTCATAGCCTGTAGTGGCTGTAGTTAGTGTAGGCACACACAGACAAAATAGAAAAGGTAAACTCAAAATATTGCAGAATTGGCAGTTTATATTATATGTAAAGATTTTGTGAACAGTGAGGTAACCATAAGTACGATTTTTGAAGATAAGGTGACCTGTGGACTGTAGTTGGATCATGATATAATAATTTCCTGCCCTCTTCATAGTATTTTAGCTTCATATATGATTGAATCATTGATGCAGTAAGACACACACACACATAAAAAATCAAATATATAAATAAAAGTGAAAATTTGTTTGTTTGTGGGTTTGTTTGTTCCACAAAGGCTTTTACATGGATAGATGGATCTTGACCAAATTTGGCACATATATCCATCATTATCCAGAATCCAGAATAAAATACTTAGGGACTATTATTATCATTTTTTATAACATTCCATTTGGGGCCGGGGACCCCAAATTCGTTTTTTTCTCTTCTATGAGCTATATAAATAAAATGACCAACAAGTTCTCCTACACAAAAAGATGGATAGTGACAAAACTCAGTTCACATAAACTTGATTATCCATGCTCAAATACCACATGGTGCTGAATTCATAATATCCATTGGCTGCGACTATTCGTACCCGGGTACCAGAAGGGAGAGGTTGGGATTAAAAAACGATTTAAATTTTTATTGTTGGGTTTGTAAGACAATATGAGGTATCACATGAAAGATACTTGAATGGACTATATATTTGTAAACTTAATTCTTCAGTTTAACTAAAATAAACTACCACAAATGACATCCGAATAGCTCGAGTCTAATGATACCCGGGTGCGAATGGCGGCGCTGCATGTCTGGGAACGAGATCAAACAGTAAATTTGAACTCATCGGTAACGCGATCCCACTGGGTGACGGGATCAAACCGGGATCGGGATCCTATCAGGAAACAGGATAACATCGTAAAGGGGGTGCCTAGGTGGGATGAGATCCCACATAGGATGGTATCCTAACGGGATCGGTAGCCCACTTGGATCGGGATCCACCGAGATTGGGATCTGGTACCCTGGTACGAATAGCCACTTCGTAAAATTATATGCCATGCAAAAATTCACGATAACGAATGAATGGAATGCAATATAAAAATGGTCGAGATTATATTTATTTGCTTTTCACAAACTCAAACTGATATGAAAAGTAAATAATTTTAAATATATAATTTGAACGTCAGTGTTATCACAAAAACAAAAAATAGAGCACATAAAAATCTATAAAGATAACGGCATAATCAACGATTTAAACTAGCACTGAGCACCTTTCAGTACCAACATACTAATAATCAGTAAGATATTATTACAAACACTTCTTTTATCATCATTACATTTAGTGTACACTAATTTAATTTATTTAGTATTTAAATTTAAAGTCAACTCGTCTAAGTCTAAAAAAAGTCTAACCACTTTTTAGTGTTACTCACCTATTATCTGTTGATGATTAATCCTTTGAGTGACCAAAGTTGTTTTATTTAACATTTTTTCTAGTGTTTCAATAGGATCTCTGGTGTGTTTAATAACCCGAATCGACATTTTTTTTTTTAAGCTTCAGAGGAATAACATGCACACACGACTGAGCGCAGCAGTTCGAACAACTATCTAAATATACCCGCGACGTCTACCATAAACGCACCGGAAGTTTACCGTTGCCTGGATCCCTTGACCTCATACTTTCTTTGACCCTAAAGGAATATCATTTCCGCTAAGTCATTCAACATGGCGAGCTCCATTATTGAACCTTTTCCAGTTGAGGGAATACTGCCTAAAAAAGAAACTGGAGCTACTTCGTTTTTAACGAAATATCCAGATTATGATGGCCGTGGCATTATTATTGCAGTTTTGGATACTGGTGTTGATCCCGCTGCTCCTGGACTACAGGTTTTATTATTATATCATTTATTTTATACACAACCTATTAACGATAACAACAATTGAATTGAATTAGTTCAGAATTAGGCTTAGCCTGTCTTTGGCCAACTCACCTTGTATTTATAGTTTGAATTTAAAGACCCTGTTATTCACATTCTTGGTAAATGTGAGTTAGTTGAGTTAGCGGCAATGGATCCATCCATTCCTGGGGAACTACAGCCCATGTAGGATCTTGGCCTGCCTCACCACTTCCTTCCACAAAGACCTAATTAACTTAACTTATGTTTTTCTTTTCCATGCTTGGATTTCCAACTGCTGTAGATTCCCTCCACATCATCCATCCATCAAAGCCTAGGTCGACCTTTGACACCCTCTTCACTCCTCTGAATATTCACCCTGAACCTTGATTTAGCTTTTTGAGTTGTTTAATGTCATATGTATCAGTATCAGTATTGTCAGTTTGTTGGGTACCCAAACTCCTGCAGATTCTCTTTTAGATATTTTCTTTTGATGCTGTCATAGGCCATTTTATAGTCCACAAAGAGTTGATGTACTGGGATGTTATATTCATAACATTTCTCTATAGGCATCTGATGGTGAACATCTTATCAGTCATTGATCTGTTTTGTCTGAATCCAAATTGGTAGTCACCTAGTATTTGTTTAATGTATTTATTTTTGTCAATATTTTGTATGTAACATTTAATAGGGAAATTGCTCTGTAGTTTGTACATTGAAGTTTTGAACCTTTCTTGTGTATTGGGGTTATTAGTGCTCTTTACCATTCTGTTGGAATATTCTCTTCTTGCCAAATTTTAGCTATAAGTTTATGTGTCTGAGTGTGTAGTTATCTTTCTCCCATATTCAATAAGTTCTGCTGTAATGAGGTCTTGGCCAGGGGCTTTCTGGTTTTTCATGGAATTGATTACTTCTTTAGTGTCTCCAAAGTTGGGGAGTTTATTAAAAGGGTGGTGGTTCATAATCTTCATCATAAAACAATGTATAGGCAAAGAAAAATTTCAGACCATACATTACAATGTATGCATTACTTAATTACGTTTTCCCATATTTTATTACTTGAAAATAATTAATTTTAGATTTTCTGTTTTAGCAATATTTATCCTATAAAATTAACCCTCTCTATTTTTAATACACAATCAAATCAAGGTAAAAATTAATTAGCTACAGCATAAAATAAAAAAATTAATAATATATAATCAATAAATAATAACTTGTATCAAGCATAAAAATATATTAAATAGATGATTATTTGAAATATTTATTTTTATTTGAAGAAAAAAAAGCAATGTATTTTAAAATTTAATCCTATCGTAAATTGAAAATATTTCAAATCTGTGAAGTGACTACAGTCTTCACACGTATTTAAATGTAGAAAACTTACAGAATCTTACTGTTAACTAAATATAATGTGGCATTCAGAATTGAAGCACTTACAATCCTCTCACCCTTCAATAAAAATATTCTGATTTTAATTTCTTTTGTTTTCCTGTTATCAGTATGAATTCTAAGATTTTCCTTTTACTACCGGTATATCAGATTTTAAAAATAAAAAAAACAAAAAAACATGTTTCTCTCTTTCTCTACACAAATGATTTCCACTATTTAACTAATTTAAATTATTTTTTTTACAGGTCACATCTGATTCCAAACCTAAAATCATTGATTTAGTTGACTGTACTGGAGCTGGAGATGTGGACACATCTGCTATTGTCACGGCTGCTGATGGTATCATTACAGGCTTGACAGGACGAACACTAAATGTATGGGTTATTATAAGTGAATGTTTGGGTCATTATGAGTAGTGCTTTATTTCATTTATTTTGGTTATCCCTCTAACTGCCTCCATCATATTAAAATATATTTTGTAATTGTTAAGGATATATATTTTTTTCAATACTCTCTTCCTTAGATTCCAAAATCATGGAACGTTCCTGATGGAAAGTTTCATATTGGTGTCAAGGTGGCATATGATTTATACCCCAAACCCTTAAAAGAGAGAGTAACAACAGAAAAAAGAGATAAGTTATGGAGTCCACAACAAAGGGCGGCATTGACCTCAGCTTTACGGGAACTTGAGAAGTTTGATAAAGCTCACCCCAGCTGCACATCTTTGGTGAGTGAAAATAACTTTTTAACCTGTTTTATAACCTGTTATTTAAATAAGAAAATACTGCCTTATTACTCACAAGGAAGTAATTGTTTTCATCTGTGAACATTAAAGATATTTTATCTTTGAATGGGGTATTCAATGCAGTCAAAAATACAGTGAGCTCATTACATAACATGTTTGGCCCATTAAAGTTTTATAGTGACAGTGGTTTCATTTTTAATTTGTACAGGGGAATCTTCTTTGTTAACTGATGAATACAAATTGAAAATTTTTATCAAGATGGCTGACAGAGCTCTATTTACTTTGCTGTCTTATAAAACATGCATTCTTCTATAAATTAAAGATAAACATTGATTTCAGGAGGATAAGACTCAACGTGAAGATTTGCAGGCCCGAGTAGACATTTTGAACTCTCTAGACAAAAAGTACACAGAACTTGGTGCAGTTTATGACTGCATTGTTTTTAACGATGGAGAGAGATGGAGGTGTGTATGCTAAATATTGATGGAGGAATGTGCACTTGAATAGACCAAAATTTTCATTTGTAAAATATATATTTAATAACATGAAAACAAAATTTTTCATTATTTTTTTTTAATGGTTTTTAAGATAATGTGAGATTGATTTTTTAATTGTAGCTGCAAATATTCAAATAACTGTTTCAATAAAATGTGTAGAATCTGAGTTAATGCAAATAAGTTAGATTCCCACTCACCCCATCATATTTTAAAAACCTTTCTATGCCAGAGGTTCCTCATTTATCATATGATAATAGTAATTATGAGAATGTCACATATGAAATGGTAATATTTTCCAACCAAACTTTCAGGGCATGTATTGACACTTCAGAAACAGGAGATCTACAGGCGTGTAAAGTTCTTGCAAATTATAGAGAGTTCCATGAATATGGGCAGTTTAGTCAACCTGGTATGTAAATACATTAAAATATTTTGTTTTAAATTAACAAAGCATGTAATAATTCAATCCTTTTTTAAAGTAAAAGCTTTATTTGTAGTTTTATATATAAATATTATCTAATGGTGTTAACATCCAACAAATAATTATAATAAATATACAACAAGCTAAGTAAATTTTTTACTATTATCTATTTTTCTTGATTGTGTTTAAGGAAACTGATTAAAACACTATAAAAAATGACACAATTTTAAAATCATTTTGTCTGAAAACCGGGCTGCTATTTGCTGCTATCAGCCATTTCACCCCTTGTAGGTGTATGACTTATACAGAATAATTTTAGGATTTGTTTTACAAATCGTGCAAGGGACCAAAGGCACTGTTATGTATTGACCATAATCATTGTTCATGATATTCCTGTGTATACTAATGTAGCTCTGTTTACCCCCAAGATATGCTGACCTACTCTGTGAATATCTATGAGGATGGGAATGTATTGGAAATTGTAACAAATGCAGGTAAATTCAGTCAGTTGTTGTACTTAATAGAAATTTAAATCATAAATGAACTTGAAGCTAGGAACATCTTTTCAACCCGACATAGCTATCCTTGGTTGGCCCTGTGATGCAATGGTAAGATTGTCTGTCTCTTGACCAAGGGGGAGGGGGTACTAATTTGTAATGAGTTTTCCAGCTATTGTTACATTGCTGACTGTAAAAGAGCAATTTTCTTACCAGATTATATAAATTTTATTATTTTTAGTATATTGTTAGATTATTATCCACATTATGTCTTATTGCTCAGTATTTATTAAAAAGTATGACTATGATTTATGGGCATGAAAAATATGTAGCATCTTTTTTCTTCAAAAGTCTGCACTCTGAATCTTTATTTGTCCTGCTTTAAAATTCTTCAGGAGCCCATGGGACTCATGTAGCTTGTATTGCTGCTGGAAATTTCCCTGAAAATCCTGATATGAATGGCATTGCTCCTGGGGCTCAAGTGATAGGCCTCAAAATTGGTGATACAAGGCTTGGGTCCATGGAGACAGGAACAGCCTTAGTTAGAGCTGTGAGTTAAGTTTTGTCCAGTATTATTTTTTGAAAAAGTTTTTGAAACACATAGTCTTAACTTTATTAAAAACCAATGGGGCATGAGTTACAAATGTTTTTTTAGGATAAATATTTTTTTCTCCACAATTATATTGTGTACCTAATGTTGACAGATGAAATACATTATGGACAACAAAGTGGATCTTATCAACTATAGCTACGGAGAGGCTGCCCAAATTTGTAACTCTGGGTACGATATTTTTTATTTTAGTGCCATAATGAATTATTTAACAGTAAAAGTAAAGCAAAAACCAAAGTTTCAGGCCTTTTCTGTTTGACATTATTTTAATAGAGTAAATTACCAGTTTCGATATGACTTTTAAGCGATTAGATAAATGGATAGGTTGCCGTTTCAATAAGATCCTTTATCACCTTTTACATTCAATAGTGCTACTTTGTTCATAAAGGATGCTACTGGAGTATCTCATAACAGCCTATGACATATTTATCTGATTACATAACAGCCTATGACATATTTATCTGATTACAGCCTATATCTGATTATGATTTTTAATAATTTTTGTATTGCCCAAATCTTTTATTAGCCGTGTAATCAACCTGATAACTGAGGTAGTCAATGAGAGAGGAGTTATTTTTGTGTCCAGTGCCGGAAATAATGGACCTGCCATTTCTACAGTGGGGACACCTGGTGGAACAACGTCAGCTGTCATAGGCAAGGAATGGCTATTTGAAACATAATATGTTATCTATTGTTAAATTTGAATGTATGTTTGGTATACATAGAGATTTCAGTAATTAAATACATTATTTTATTATGACCCATGATGTTTACTTTGTGATTCTTAAATAATGTTTCTTGTGTTACCTGTAGCTGTCGGAGCCCACGTCACCCCTCAGATGATGATGGCAGGCTACTCCATGAGAGAGCCACTTCCAGCCATGCACTACACATGGTCATCTCGAGGACCTGCGTAAGTCCACTGACATATTGATTAAATTTGGTCTGACAAGAAATTTCTTACTGTGCTCAAAGTTAAATATTCATAGATGGTAGGAAAATAATTGTTCTAAATTTATTAACAATTCACATTGTTGTATTGAAGGTAGGAAAATTTGAGAATGAAAGGCTGGAAAATGAACTCTGGGCAAGACTCAGTTCCTCTTTAAAACATGTTTACCTATTGCGAGTTATCATGCATGAGTGAGCTAGGGTTTCTGCAATAAATACTTAATTGCTTAACTGTTTTTAGACTTTAATAAAAGCTTTTGTAAACAATTTTTTTCAATTTTTGCTTTTAGTGCTCACTCAAAGTGAGCAATTTAAAAAAATTAAATCTCTTAGGCTCATGAGTCATTGCTTTGTCATTCATGCAAGCAGATGTATATTTTTTAAAATTCCAGACATGATGGTGCACTTGGTGTGTGCATCAGTGCACCAGGCGGGGCTATAGCATCTGTGCCAAATTGGACCCTAAGGGGTTGTCAGCTCATGAATGGCACCAGCATGAGCTCACCCAATGCCTGTGGCTCAATCGGTAAGACTATGCTCGTTCAGTCAGTTTTGTACAGTTGTGCTTGCATCTGTCGATGTAGCAACTTTAACAAAAATACGTCTTATATTTTCCTGGTTATGGTAATCATAAGGTCCAGATAGATGAACTCATTTTTTTTTAGAAGCATTAAGGCAAACTGTTTAACATTAATCCCCTTCATATTTTGCAAAAACCAGAACCCAGGCCAATAGCTAAAGTGAGACAATTAATTTTTCCTAAAGTTTTCAGGTTTATCAATGACTTTATTTCCTACTTTAATACCTACCACTTTCCAGCTTTAATACTCTCTGGTTTAAAGGCTGGACAAGTCCACTTCTCACCATTTAGTGTGAGGCGAGCCTTAGAAAATACTGCTGCAAAATTGGATGATGTAGAAGTTTTTGCTTTAGGGCAAGGACTTGTTCAGGTAAGTTAAATACTTTTTATGAAAGAATTGCTAAGAACTATTAACTTATTCTAGTTTTTAACAAAAAAATGTTTATCAAAAGCTGTACACTTCAGAGCTTGTTTAGCCTTGAACATTGCTTAAATTAATGGGTAGAGGATTCATCTCAATAGGAATAATGTTCTATAAATTGCATTTGAATATGCATTCAATCCTGTTCAGTAGAGCAATTGTCTTTTTGTGGTTTGAGGGAGTTAGAAACAAAAAATATAAATAATTTATAATGTAGGAAAAATATTTATTCCTTCTTCTTTTATTTTTGTTTGTTTGGCTAATGTTGTAACAGATGCAGTGGAATTGTTATATTTTACCTTTAACCCTAGTTAAGCAAATCTTTTAGTGTTTAGCACAAAATTAATATTAATTAAATTTATGATTGTATAATAAAAGCTCCAAAAATATTAGAAACCTCTGCTCTGTAAAAAATTTTCTTAAATTTCCTATCATTCTAATAATTATTATTTTGCATTTCAATTTACCAATTGTTCAAGGTCGAGGCAGCTTACAACTATTTAACCAAAAACCAGAAAAATGTTGCAGAAAATGTTCAGTTCACTGTGCAATGCTCCGGGAGCAACAGGGGCATCTATCTCAGAGAGCTGCCACAGCTCACTAAACCAACGGAGGTCACAGTCTCTGTGGAGCCGTTGTTTGAAGAACAAACCGGTAGGCATGTTGGTTTTATTCTTAAAGACATGGTAACAAATAGGCGGAGACACACTTTTTCATTCCTTGTCCCCTTATAAAGATGCGGATACATGGTCGAGATTTAGTGATGTCATCCTTGAAAAGTTTTAATTATTTACCTAAGGAGGGCTGAGGTGCCAACATCAACATTCTTTATGCACAAATATAAAATGCAGCCCATGCCACATCAAACGTTTGTGTGTACCATGATACAAATAGTTTTCTGGGTGGACCATCGTACGAATAGTTTTCAGATTAGAAATTCTAAAACTACTTTTATATCCCGTCTTTTGTATCCAAGATCTTAAGTTGAGGAATTGTGTTCCTTCCCCTGAAAAGCATTGCTCCCTATTGTTATTATGGAATAATTGTTTATTTGTGTTTGTTTATAATAAATTGTTTCCCCTCAATTTGTGCAGACCCAGCTACAAAGATCTCATTTAGTGTCAACTTCTGCCTGACCAGCACACAGTCATGGGTTCAGTTTCCCAGCAGCTTCCTGCTCATGAATGCAAACAGATCTTTCACTGTCAAAATTGATCCCAGGGGTCTGGCTGAAGGCATTCATTATGCTGAGGTGAGATTTCAAGTTTTTGAAAACAAGATGAACAACAACAAAAATGAAAACATTTTTGGAGGTTTTAAAAAAAATTGTTTGATTTTTATTATCTAAAATCAGTGATTTTCAGACTGATTGAGGCCCTTTGGGTTGGGTACAGTCATTAAGTTAAAGCCTTCTCTTAATGATCTGATAGCTGTTTTAACATTTGTGTGTTTCACTTTTCTGAATGAATTATCTAAACCCAACTAAGATGATATCTACTTATTTCAATTTATATCTGAACTGTCAGATCCGAGCATTTGAGTCTGGCAATGTGGAGAGGGGACCCTTATTCCGTGTACCTGTCACAGTTATCGTTCCAGTTCGGTGAGTACAATTTGAGAAAATTTAACCAACACTGATCATTCATATTTTTTGTTGTCTTTAAGAGTCACCAGTCATGATGTGATTTTCACTATCTGTGTAATGCCATGGTCTTATTGACCTGTTCAGATTATATTTGTAATTAATAAAGCATTAAAAAAGCAGGAGCTATGCCCCATGGTATGCTCAAGAGTATACTGAAACCAATTTTGTAGAAAAATAAATTTATACACATATTTGGAACCCCAGACACCATCTACTTTGATAATTTGATTTGATTGCAATATTGTTTCCTTTTGTTGCTATTCACAACTTTTCTGCTTCATCTTACAAACACACATTTATTTTCCATAGTTAATTTAGGAACTTTTCCATACATATATTATGTTGACAGAAACAAAAGAAGGCTTTCTACCAAAACATGTCAGTTTGTTTTTTTGTCTAACCCTAATAGAGCATCACACAGCATGTTAAAATGTAAACACAAATCAGTTATTGTTAATATCTTTAAGCTTCACCAAAATGCCTCATCACTTGTTACGGCTTGCGTGGTAGTTGACTAAATGTTTCATTTGAGCATTATGACCAAGCTTATCAAAATTTCACTCATGTGTAAACATTATTTTCCCTCACCTTCATAATTAATAAATATTGGTTTTCATTTAAATACATGTGCCATATCTAAAATGATAGTGCAAGTTCATCAACAATTTTTAGAACATTTAGAGTTTTAAAATCAGAAAATGTTTATCTGAATCCTGACTGGCATTCTCATTTTAACCACCCAAGCATCATAATAAGGAAAACAGCTCCGTACACCAGTTCCTAGTCGTTTCATCAAAACATTTTGTTGCCAAAAACACCCATAAGTAAAAAATCTTTAGCTTGTGCACACAGCTTCCCACCTTGCCACAAATGCCACCTTCAAAAGGAACATTTGTGTCTGAAACGTCCACCCTCTGGATTCCGTCTGTTGTTGAAGTGCTACCGCCACCAGAAGGTTGTCCCTTGCCCTGACTTTCTCTGCAACAGGTTGTTTGTGGTGGAAATTGATTAACATTGATTTCAGATTTTTTTATAAAGAAAAAAAAAACCAACAAAACAAAAAAACTGCAATTGAGTGTTACTTGTTAATTTAAGTTCTGATTCTGAAACTAGACCATGATTGAGATTTTAACCATTAGCAGTTGTATTTTTATATGGTTGTATTTCATTGCATTAATTTTAAAATTATTTTGTCTTCTTGAAGAAGCATGGATATTGTTTTTTTCCCCTCACATAATTTTCCTGTTTAATGCAAAAAATAAATGCAAGATGCAATGTTGACTATTCCTTAAACACATCCGCCACCTTCTACTTGACCTGCACACAGTCTTGGGTTCAGTCCTTTTCCAGTACACGTCAGGACCAATAATTTAAAGACATTCTTATCATTGCTCTTTACTCATCCATCACTTATACATAGATCTATTAAAATAATATCAATCCATTTCCTCTCAAGCTATACAAAATATACACACAAAAAGGGAGAAAAAAAAAGGTCTGCTCCTACCAAAATACGGCTGTTTCTGTTGTTTTTTAGGACTAAAAGAACACAAAGTCTTACAAATAATTGATATTTCTTGCGTCCACACATTACTTTAAAAAAATGATGTATCACTTAATTAATTAAAGACGTTTTTCCTTTTTAGAGGAATTAATGTTGGTTTAACACAATTACTTTGATTTTCATCAAAGCTATTCTCTTTTTTCATGTAATCTCCCTAGAACACACATTTCTATCATGGATCTGCTGACATGTGCCACCTTCAATTTAAAAATAAATTCCTATATGTCAATTTTCAGGTTGGTGGACTTGACCAACTTTTCTATCTCAACCTTGGGGCTAAACTTCAAACCCGGCCAGATACACAGAAGATTCATACATGTGCCATATGGCGCATCATATGCTGGTAAACAAATTTTAATTAAGGACTCCTTCTCAACAAAACAGAAATTAGTGACTATAAAAAATTAAAATGTTAATTTATTAAATGCGGATTTAGTTTACCTATCATGGCAGTTGTAAAACCTAACCTTTTATGATCAAACTGAAATTTTAATTCAGTGTTGTTACTTAAACAGCAGAGGAACAGCCACGTGGTTGGGTTCAAATATTTCCTTTCTGGTTTCAGTCAGAAAAGACAACTATCTGAAATTGCTAGTTGAAAGATTTTAAACAAAAACGTTGAAAAATATAAATTTGTGACATTATTTATTAGTTGCAAATATTAAACATACCCTGTATTACATCATATCAGAATCCAGGTTGAAAAATTTCCAACGGGAGCAGTTCTGATAAGGCTAAGAAGAACCTAAAACTAAAATAACTTTAATCTCCCCAAAAATGTTTGCCTTGAAATTAGAGAACTGTTCAGTTTCCCCATCATAAACTAGTCTTATAGCCAAAATTCTGAAATGTTATCTCCACGCCTTCACATTGTTACTAATTAAATGCATTAAAAATATATATCACACAATGTAATCTCAATGTAATTTCAACCTTGTTCTCAGTTTTAAAAATTACTTCATTGGACGTTGAGAAAAGTGGACGTTTCCTGATTCATACACTTCAGATTTCACCCCAGACAGCATACAAGGATCACGAGTTTTCAAAGTTTGTCACCATCAGTGAGAGAGGGGAAGGCTCTTATGCTTTTTCTGTTTTAGTAAGTCACTCTCCTGGATACGACCCTCTAAAACCTTTGGATCACTTGATTCTCTCCCCAGTTTCTATTTTTTTGGTTGCATTTATAATTTATAACCTCTTCTGAGAAAGAATAAAGATTTCTTTTGTTAAATTATTATTTTAAACAAACATAACAATGTTTAATTTTCTTATTGTTTCAACATTTAGAAAATTTACCCCAAACTTTTTCTTGTCATGTAGAGAAATTATTAAAAGACATGAGATTTGAATTTTCAGTTATTATTTCATATCACATATTTCAGTCCGGCTGTTAAATCAGATACATAAGTAGCTTTGTGCATAATCTTGGTTTTTCATTCATTTATCATTGCATCCCTCCCTTATGACATACTTTTCTTTTAAATCTCACCCTCCTTTGCCCGTTTATCTCATGTTTTCTGCTGGGTTGTTTATTACCACAGGGTGACTGTACATTAGAACTGTGCGTGGCAAAATGGTGGGCCAACCTCGGAGATGTATCACTGGATATAACTTTGTCATTTTATGGTGCACAGCTGGAACATGGCTTACCTGTGATGGTATGTGGTGCATTGGGATCAATGTTAACTCTAAGCCATGCCAAGGAGCTCAGCTATACAATTGATAAACTATTAATAGATTTGTAATTGTCAACCCACAGTTTGCACAAGATACCCTAGACTTTTTTTTTGTTAAAATGGTTGCTTATTTTTAAAATGCTAACCTGTCATTGGTTTTTTATTGATTTATTTTATAGCATGGTGGTGAAGGGATTACCAGATTTGATATTATTTCACCATTACGCACTGAAGATCTCAACCCCAGTCTTTCATTGAAGTCAGTGGTTTGTCCCTTGAGGTAAGATAACCAGATAAGGCTTAGGCGTACATAAAGATGCATATATCTTGATTTTAGATAAAAGTGTTGTAATGAGGCGGGGGCCCTAATACTAGGCTGTATTTAGACTTCGGTGATGAGGTGGGGGCCCTAAAACTAGTCTGTATTTAGACTTTGGTGCAGTGGGAATTTTATAAGTGCATACTGATTCATTATTGTCTTTTTTCCTCCCACTAAAAATATCTTTTTCCTCCCACTAAAATAACTAAATTAGGGGCAAGGCAACTATTCTAGGAAGTATGTATACTGATAGCAAAAATATCTCAACCATCAAATTTAAAAGACAGTAGCCAATTACATAAAGGACAAAATGGATATAAAATAATGGGTATAAAATAATGTCTAAACTGCTCAATTCTCAATGTAAAATAACATTTGTGTTAAATGCTCAGTTCTAAATGTAAAATAACTGTTATATGCTTAATTCTTAAGAGAAAATAAGACTTTACAATAAATAGTTTATTAAAAGGTAATACAATTTTTATTTGCACATTAATTGGTTTAAAGTAAAAAATTATCTCATTTCTACCTCCTAAATGCTTGTGAAGTAAAAAGGCTGGGGCTATAGTAGGATGTTTTGTTATTTTGCAGGCCAACAGATCACAAGTTAAGATGTTTGTCAACAGAAAGAGACCAGCTGAAGGATGGCCGGCAAGTTCATGCCATTGAACTAACTTACTCATTTCATTTGGTGAGTAAAGGCAGTAGACTTTGACTTAAAGCAGCTGTTCTAATTAATAGATTTAAAATAAAACATGAGCACTAAGACATATTTGAACTGTTAAGGCAGCTTTAATATAAATATCCCCCCCCCCCCTCCTCTTTTTTGTGTTTTGTTTTGTTTTGTAAAGTAGCAACAAATCGAGCAATATAAATGTTTCACAATTTTGTAAGCTGGACCCAGGTGGATTTCAATTACTGAACCGTATGCCACCAAGTAAATAAGGGTCAGCCATTTTCAGTATAATATTTTTTTAAAAATATATTGTTTTTTCTTGTTTTCTTTTGACAAGAAGCAAATTACATTAGAAAGAACGATTTATACATAATTAGAATCTTGTATGTTCATCTTCATCATTTATTCCTGAGAACCTGTTCACCTTTAATAACTTCTTGCATCTCAATTCATGGACATTATCCATATCTTTCATTCATGACGGTATGGGGACAATATATTTAACTTAGTGATACATTTAGCTCCCCAAAAAGCTACATGGATCAGCAAACCGCAGACATCTGCACTCAAATATCATTGTCGCCTTTTATGTTATTGTGCATTTTCAATTTTAGCCTAAAGCAACAGAAGTAACCCCAGACTGTGCCTTGCTCAGCGACATGCTGTACACGTCAGAGTTTGAAAGCCAGATGTGGATCATATACGATACCAACAAGCAGTTCATTGCTGCTGGAGATGCTTATCCCAGCCGGGTGAGATGATTCACCTTACTTTGCTAGCCCATAAGAATCATTACAATTAACTTCTTAATCTTGTTTGTACAAATCAAGTCTTTTTAATCACTTAGGTCCAAGCTTTTATTAGTTTCCTATTCCTTCAAAATGTGATGTTGAGAATTTTTTTAAACATAAAAGCATTTAAATATTTGATTAAAGTAGTATCTTTAAAAACATTTTTTTTTTATGACAAAAAGAGCTAGATATCTAAATTTAAATTTTAATCATTTTGTCTTTTTTTATCAAAATTTAAAGATGTTTTAATTTATCCTAGTCATTTGACATTCATTGTTTGACTTCAGGACTATTTCCTCATTGTTTTGTTTTCAGTACGTAACCAAGCTGGAGAAGAATGATTTCATAATCCTCTTGCAAGTCCGTCATGAGAAGCGGGAGATGCTCGAGAAGCTGAAGGATGTGATTCTTCTGGTCAAGATGAAGCTTTCATCCCCCTTGAATCTTGACCTTTACCCCACCTGGCAAGCCGCTGTGACTGGGGGCAAGAAACTGGGCGCGCTCACCATACATAAGGGTCTGAGACAGCCCATGTTTGTAACACATTTACCTGAAGATAAGTAAGTGTTGGTGTTAGTCTTTGAATTTAACTCTAAAGAAGATGTAGTTTAAAGTAAACAGAGTCACATTCAGGGTAGTTAACATAGCGTAACTTAATAAATGATCTCACAACCTATAAGGCATTGAAAGTAGAGATTCATTTTGAAAATCTAAATGGCTATTGACAACCACCTGACTTGTTTCCTCCAACCCTCGAACAGACTGCCTAAAGGCTGTGGACCAGGTTGGTATTTTACTGGTCACCTCACACTTGCTAAAGATGAACCAGGGAAAACAAAGGTGAGTCTTCACATGATTACCACTGGCATAGAAAGGGGAGCTTTTTTACAGATCCATCGGGGATTGCAAGATCCCTTAAGCTTATCTTTTTGTATATGTCATTGGTACCTTTATAAATCTAAAGGAGTTTTTTTTTTTTCTTTTTAAGTCCTGGGGGGTACTGTTGTGTTTTTAACATTATTGAGTGATTTCTTGTTTAAATTGTGAAAAGAATTACTAATACATGTGTGAAAAGTTTTAAAATTGCTAAAAAATTTATTTCCTGCCATTTATTAGTTTTCAAATTTAAAAAAAAAATCTTTTCATATTTGTTATTGTGTCTGACTTAACAATTAATTACCCCTGGTCCTACCACCTTCCTGTGTTGTAACGTATCTAAATTACAGTGTACTGAAACTTGTTGCATGTTTAAGACCCAGTCCTTTAGGCCAATGACAACTGATCCAATCTTTCAGAGTGGATCAAGGTTCAAGTATTTTGTCTCTGAGTCAGCCTCAAAGGGTAAAGGTAATGGGAAGAGAAAGGAGAAAGAAAGCAGCAAAGATAAAGATGCAGGCAAGGAGTCCTCTGGAAAATTCTCAGTTGAAAGTATGAATGATGCCATCAGAGATCTCAAAATCTCATGGATTTCAAAGTTGGTACCAAAGTGCAAAGATTTAAATTTTGGACCTCTAAGTATTATAAGTAGAATTTATTTTAAATCTTAAATTGAAACATTCACTGAGGTCTTGCATTTTATAAGTTATTTGTTACAGCAGTAATTTATATAACATTAAGAAAAATAATTTAAAAAATAGAAGTTTTTGCTCATTTTTGTTTTACATTTCTTTACCGTACTTCTCAATTCCATGGTTTTTTTTTCTCATTGATTTACAATATGAAAATTACACTGCTTTAGATATACTTAATTCTGTTAATATAGAGTCATTCAATTGTACATTATTTGTTTCTGTGAATGTACAGTCATACAGCTGTACATTATTTGTATGAAAAAATACAACTAAACTCATATAGCAGTTATAACACATAATAGTTTCAATTCTTAATAAATATTTACTGCATTGCAAAATTTAGCATTGCCAGTCTTTATTTTGTAAAATTCCTAATTCACTCATTATCAGTTAATGATAAATTTCCTGATTTTATTTTCTGTCGCTACTTAAAAATATCATAGTACAGATCTTTTTTTTTCTTTTGAGCTACACAATATTCAAGTGTTTTTTGTATTTTTTTATAATGTATCAATTTGAATTCTCCAGGCCACCTTTATCAGCCACTCAAACTGTCTATGATGAGCTGAGAAAAGAATTCCCTACACATGTACCTGTGTTGATATCCAGGATGAATGCACTGGAAGCTGTGGATGTTGTAAGTTCTCTGCCGAGTCTGTGTAAACAAACTTTAAACAGTATAGTTTCATAGGTCATGTTATGAGCTCTGTTTTGAACACATACAGTTTGGGGTTTTGAAATACATTTATATTGGCAGAGGAAAAAAAAACTTTAAATAAAATATATATAATTGAAATAGAATCTAATACATGTTCAAAGACATTGCAGACACATAATATGTGGGGGACTGGGTGAGAACATTCTAATCTTGGCATTGTGCACTATGAACAATAAACTAGGGTCTTTACTTATCAAGTAATTATCCACTATTCCAAGTGAGCTCGATATGGCTGAATTGGGCTCCTCATTTTGTATTGAATTTTTTTTTTCCTTTGGTCAATTCTGCATTTTTATACCTTTTATTTTAAAATTACACTAATCTTCAAAATGTAATTTAAATACTACATGTAATATTCCCTTGTTTAAAATAAACTTTAAAGAATCTATGAATTTCTTTCGTTTCCAATTCAAATTCTTCCACATTATTGTTAATATTTATTGCTTATATATTTCCCATTGTTATCTCATACTTTTCAGAATAACATCGAGAATTTAAAAGAGATAATTGCTTTAGGAAATGAAGCTCTCACATTAATAGATACAGAAGGTCTGCTGGGATACTTTGGCATGAAGACAGACACCAGGGCCGACTCAGCCACTATCAAGAGGTAAGCAAGGTGTCTTTATGTAGCACTCATAGACTTGATCTATTAATGTAGAAGTGAGGCTTGCAAACAGAGAAGGAGGGTACAAAATTTAGCTGCACTAACTATAAAAGAGTTATAATTAAAAAATGTAACAGAATTAAAAAATATAACAGTTGATATTCATATATAGATGGTCTCTCCCCCCCCCCCCCCCTCCCCCCCACTATGATTGAATGTTCAGTTAAATTCATATTTATAAATGCATAATATAATTATGACGCTAAAAGATATTATTGAGTTTATAACTTTCATTTGTTATAGTTGTTCAGTACCATACCTTTCCACAAGTTATTTTTCGGTTGTCATTTTTTTTTCTGATATATTAAATAATCAGTGCAGTTGATTTTAAAGTCTCAAGATTTGGCCTCTTTGTTAAACAATTCTTGCTATTTTGGCCTTATGCCTAAATTTGTGCAGGTTATTAAATTTTCTGCCTTACTTCAGTTGGCTTTTAAGGTTTTGTATTTTCATTCCCTTCCTTTTTTTTTGTTTTGTTATGACATTTAACTTTATTTACATTACTGAAAATTCATTTCAATTTGAAATTTAAAAGTCTGTTAAGATATATGTTTGTATTCATTCATCACTTTTTTTTTTTACATTTTAAAAATTGATTTTTATTTTATAATATTACACTATAAAAGTTTTCATAGGCCTATTCATTTAAACATTTTTCCACTTACGAAACAATTTCATCAATTTGTTTGTAATGTTTGTAACATCACAAACGGTTGTGCCTTGGCTGGACACAAAATGTTTTTATCATTAAACTTTCATTTGTAAAATTAAATTTAATGACTTCTAAAGTCACAGTGACCACAAATAACAAGTAGATTATTTTTGTAAAGCATTCATTCAAGATTGTGAGTAAGCAAATTTTCGTTAAAAACATTTATATTTAGAGAACTAATGTCACTGCACATTTTGATTGCCCAGATTTGGTGAAATTTTGTTAAAAATCTTTTGTGTTGCTATAAAGATAACTGATTGGAATGTTTAAATATACATTTTTTTTAATGTTTAAAAAAAAGCACAATACAAAGAAAACCAGTGATGGCTCTTTTTCTTACAATGAACAATTTCTTACATCTATTACCAGTAAAATAATTTTAGTGCTTTACATTTGTTCCACATATATTCTACTTTAATGTCAGTCATTGTATTTTTTTTCATTTTGGTGTTTTTTTGTTGTTTTTTTGTGTTCAGTGCATGTTTGTTTGCTAGCAAAAAAAATAACAGATGTAGATTAAAAATAGAGAAAAGTAATTTTATTAAGAAAAATGAAAGATAGCAAAATTAATTTGTATCTTAGAAACTGATGCTCTGTATTCCTTTGTTCATCTCCTGTAGGTAGGTTATCAAATATCATGCAGACGTTATAAATAGTATTTATTATTTTGGAATTAACTTCTGTAGGTGCGGAACTAAATATTGGCTTTCAAAGAATTCATCACAAAAAGATTGCCATTGAAAAATGAACCACTGTTCAGTATATTTTATTTAAAGTTTTTATTAAAGTTGCAGATTAAAGATTTTTACTGAGTTTTAAATAAAATAAAACTAATTTAAAAAAAAAATATTTTCCTTAGTCTTACCTTTTGTATCATAGTCAAAAACATTGTTACACAGTTTTAATTCTCTTTTTTAAATTTTTTATTCTAAGCTCTCTAAAGGCATTTGACTTCTACGTCTACTAAATTCTAGTGTTAATAAAAATTAATTTTCCCTAATATTCTCTACTGCTAAAGATGATATCCACAAATCTAACTTAAAATATGTAAAATAAAATTGTATAAATACTACATTGATAAAATAAATGTTAAAAATAATAATATAATATTGGAAATAATAATTGCTGACAAAGAATTAGTGTAAATGGTTTTCCAATGAAATTACACCAAAAATTTATTGGATCCCATTAAAAATATTGTGTTTCCCTTTTGCAGTGACATGGAGAAGAAAAAAAACTGGCTCATCGACACCTTAGTTAAAGTTGGTGTGGCTCAGGCTGACATCATTTTACAGAAACGGTCAGCAGGAGATGGGCAGGGTGATATCACAGCAGAGGATGTCAACAAAACATTCAGTGAACTCAGCAAGTGGACCGATGTGTCTGAAAACAAAGTAGGGGCATTTGGATGACCGGCCGCTTAATATGTTTAATGTTCTTAATCTTTGTTTAATGTGCCTAAAATTTATGTTGTTACAAAATTTACATAATTAGGCCTTTTGTATGCAGCTATCATATTATTTTTCATTATCAAGCAGATCCTTTTTAAATTCATACTAAATTATGAAATGTGCTTTATAATGTCTTAGAAAATACCAATTTTTTAAATTAGATTTTGGGAAGGAGGTGTAGCTATATATTGGGAAAAGTAAGATTAAGTGTTAGAAAATTGTATTATTAGGGGCTCAATCATACTATGCCAGTTATTCCTTCTGGCTTGAAATGAAATCTAGAATAGTTCAAACAGAATTGATACCTAGTCAGACTAGTGTTTTTTTCTAATGAACAAGACAAAAAAAGTTAAGGGGCCCACTAACACAAGAAATTAACTAATGCCTATTTCAGCAAACTTTCCCCTTTGCTTGGCGGCATGCCTCTGTCATGCTACACTTCGGGAGGGCTCTAAAGATGATCATGAAACAACAAGAAGAGAAACACACGAAGGATCTTGAGTTGAAGATCATCGAGGTGGGTACACACATTCCTGACTATATGCCCTGTATGTTTGGGAGGCATACACCATAGAAACGAACAATGCAACGTGAATGAGACACTTTAATTATACCTAATTATATATTAACTCTTTAAAATTTTGAAAAACAATTCAGAGATTATTTTTTTTTAAAATTTGAATTTTATGTGGTTAAGCCCAACCTACCGTACTGTCCCAGTAATGACATTTATATAATGTGGTACACTCTTTCAATATTGAGTTGCATCACTGTCTATCACTTTGGCAGCTTTCAGGAAAGGGCAGCCATTGTTTACCTCTGTTTAATTCTGAGACATATGCTTAATTAAATAAATACCGCTTGTCCAAAAACCTGTAACTGAGCATTTATACCATCAATATTTGAAGTGCATTGCATTAACCATTGGTGATGTCTGGTGAACAGAGCAGGTAAACATGGTACTGACAGTATCTTTGTATTCAAAGAACTGTGGACAATTTTAACTCTTTACATTCCACTAAAATAGAAAACACACTTACTATCTTAAATGAACCAAACTTTTGTTAGGTAGTCCTAAGCAGTGTAAGTCATCTGATGTTTGTATCATGTGACCTCAGTTCTCCTTTTTGTCTTGTTGCAGCTGTTCAAACAGCTTGGCTGGAAACACTGTCAGGAATACCTGGAGAAAACCACTTGTATCCGTTACCCAGCGGCCTACCAGCCATTTTAACCACAGACTCCATAGGTCCTCTTTAGGTGTGACTGAAACAGTTTCATTGTGTATTACCAAGTGTGTGTGTGTGAGTGCGCGTGCTGCTGTGTTTTAATATGCCATAGGAAATATTCACAGCCATTGCTCAATGCATATTTTATTTTCTGAACCAAGGGCAATGGGGTAACTGTAGACTTATGATTTTGTACAACCACTTTGAATAATGTTCAGTTAACAGCAATATCTCCTCCAACTATTTCGTACCCTGTAGCTCTGGATAATTTTCAGTTGAATGCAATACCACCTCAGCCTATTTTGTACCCTGTAGCTCTACTGTCAAGACATTCATTGATATCTAGTGTATTAGTTTGAAATTTTGAAAACTAAACCGGACCCTCGCAAATTTAAAAAAAAAAAATTTCTACTGTCAATTCTTTCTTAAATTCTGCTACTCGTAGTTAAAGGTACACATGACAGTTCAAAACACACTGGTACTGGTAGTCGAAGGTAGACATTACAGTTCATGACACACTCATGGCAAATTTTATTTTATTTAGTGCTTTATCCTGTGGTTTTTTTATTATCAGGTTATCAACACATGCCCATTGTTCACTTCCTTTCCCTATTGTAGCTTAAAGACATTATTTTAATTATCTATCTCAATTATCCCCCCCTCCCTTCCCTAGAGTTTATTCATTTTTCTTCTTCTTTTCTTTTTTTTTCTCCTTTTAAAATATTATTTTGTTTCTCTGCTAAATTCCTTATGCATCACTGTCACAGGGTTAATGATTTAAAATTTCATTTCTCTGCTCCGAACCAAACATTTTCTTTTCCTGACATTTTTTGCCACTAAGCCAAAAGAGCGCTTTACATACTACATTTTAACTTAAAACAAAAGACGTGATCTGTTCTAGGTGTTTAAAAACCCGCAGTATCAAGATGGGCTTAACTGTGCTGTTTTGCATCTACTAAAGGCCTAATCTTTTCATGAGATTTTAATTTATTAATGTCTTTATTGAGAGATTTAAGAAAGTACATTTTCTTCAACGTCAATTGTTTCATATTTTAAAAATGTTTACGTTTCTGCTTACCCCAGTACAAGTTATTATCCCAGGTTGTTTATCATGTGTGGCCACCCATTTGGTTGTCATTGACCATCAAATATAATACAGAATAAATATCCTACGATAAGAAATTCAGCTTGGAGATTTAGCCATTCCATTCATTTTTTATTATTGTTCTCAAACAACCAATAACTGCTGTAACCCTTTTGTAATTGAATTGTTTGGCATATACTGCTATAGCTAATACAGAGTGATAACTCCAGACTACAAATGCAATGGTTGGTGCACTGCACCGTGCAATAGAATAAGTTTGGTAGACTCTAAGAATGTGAATAGTTGAATTATGTGCCATTTCTAAACTTATTTTTTCCCATAACTTTACTTTTAAAGGAATGAGTTTCCTTGATTGCCCTAAAATTTCAGTAGTTAAAAGTTTCATTTTAATGGTTCAGTGCAATATTGATCTTATCAAGTAATTCAACTATTCATCTGGATGCCATCTTTATTTTGGTTCTCCCTGTAAATTATCTGCTAGGGCACACAAAAAATCCTCACATCATCGTAAGAGTTGAGAATTTTAAGTAACATTATAGTTTGTGATATTTGAGTTGATTGCTTAGCTAGAGTAAGTGCATGAACCATGGTGGAGTTGCAGCAAACACTTGTCAGACTGCAAGTAACTGTTGACGGACTGACAGTAACCATTGACATGCAGACTGTAACTGTTGACAGACTGACAGTTACCATTGAAAGGCTTTGGCAGACTGGAAAAAGTTTACAGTTGCTATTTTGAGGAGCATGAGTACCTTTAAACACAACACATTGAAAGAAATCCTCTTTAAGGCACCTTTTTTTTACTGTCTGACATAGGATGTGATGAGAAATAAGGTGCACCATCTGACTGCGTTACAACTGTAATTCTAGTGATACTTTTTTAAACAAAAATCTCTGATCTTGATGTCTTCAAGAGAAAGGGTAAATAAATGAATATTTTTCGTACAATCCACGATGTCATTTTGAGTGAGTTTTTTAAAATTATTATTTCATAAATTAAGTTTTATGATGGCCAATATCTAATGTTATGTTGAAAACAAGTTTACCCCTTTAGGGGTTAACAGGACCGTTTTGTTTTAGGAACCATCCAGTACATGTGTTGTTTTTTGTTTTTGTTTATGCATTTTTGATTCATAAACACCTGATATATTTTTCATTTTTATTAAATTTTTTTTTTTTCAGCATAATTTTACTCATGATGCTTCACTGCATAAAACCACATGTATGTTGCTGCTGTCCTCTAAACTTATGGCTTAGGAAAATCCCTTCAGCCTAGTTGAAGTGCCCTATAATATATTTTGACAGTTATCTGTTTTGTGGTCTTTTTTGTTGTTGTTTATCTTGAAGGACATAACCCTGTACTGTTTGCATCTCACATCACTTTCACCTCTTAAATGAACCAAATATAGCGTTTTATTTATTAGAGATACCGGCATGGTTACAAAGGCTTAAATTATTTTTTATAGACCTCAAATTATATTTAATCATTTCAATAGTCTGTTGCTGGCATACTAAAGTAAATGGGCTGCGCTTTGAAGTTTTTTCCGTTTTCTGCTCCAGTTATGATTTTAAAAGTGGACTGATAATGCATCAAAATGATGTGACTAGCCAAACCACATATTTATGGATGTCCTTTTAAAGCTACCAAAAAAAATCGCTATTATTATTATTATTACTTGTTCATTTTGTCATTGTATTAACCCTTATAGGGGAATGTAATTCATTTTTTTTTTTTTTTTGATGATTAAACAATATTTATTGCAAGACGCCAGGTGTTTTTTTTGTTTGAATAATTTTTTTTTTTTTTTATTTTTTTTTTTTTATTTTGTCATTTTATTAACCCTTATAGGGGAATGTAATTCATTTTTTTTTTTTTTTGATGATTAAACAATATTTATTGCAAGACGCCAGGTGTTTCTTTTGCTTGAATAATTTTAGCCTTAAATGACAGAGGATTATCTATTCACATGGCTAATGGGGTGAGCCCGGAGGGCATGTCAATCTGCAAATGAAGAATATGCGTCTGTCTGCAGGAAAGGACATGTCTGCAGGAAAAGACACGTCAATCTGTAGGCAAGTAGGACATGTCTGCAGGAAAGGACACGTCGTCAGTCTGTAGGCAAGTTGGACATGTCTGCAGGAAAGGACATGTCAATCTATAGGCAAGTAGGACGTGTCTGCAGGAAAGGTGGTTAAATTCCTTAGGCAAGGATGTCATGTAAGTCTGTAGGCACATGTCATTCTGTAGACAAAGATGATATATCAGTCTATAGGCAAGGAAATGTCATTTTATAGGACAGGAGCTGTCATTCTGTTGGCAAGGAAGAGAAGTCGATGCTTGATGGGTAACCTCATTGTGGCTGATTCGGTTTAACAAAACTTACACTCAGATCGTTCTCAACCTTTGTGTCGCAACTGTCACTGAAAATATGCCAGGGGGTCACCTAAGAACTTCAGAAATTTGAGTTTTTGTGTAAAATTTAGGCTTTTTATTTTACTATTAGCTCCCTTTATTTTTACTATTAGTTCCCTTTATTTTAAAAGGTATTTTATATTTTTTTAGTAATGGGGCTAGTTTCTTATTGTCACCACATGGTGACCACACTACAGCTACATTCAAAACTACATTCAATACAGAAAAATGCAATTTAAAATATATTGTTAAGGTAACAACAGTCAATACCTGAACTTCTGAATACCTTAATTTCTCAACACTTAACTTCTCAACATCCGCATTTCAAATTTAGAGATGATCCTGGTTGCTGGCTGTGATGGCTGCAGGCTACATTGGGTGACATCAACACTGGCCACACTGAGTGATATCATGAATGGCAGCATTGAGTGACATAATCATGGGCAGCATTGAGTGACATCACTGGCTGTATTTGGTGACATCATCACAGGCCACAATGGGATGACATCAGCACATGCCACATTGGGTGACATCATAACAGGCCGCAGCAGATTCGGGTGCACACAGAGTAGGACGCAACTAGAGTAGGCGCCACCAGAGTAGGGTGACACCAGAGTAGGGTGAAACCAGACTAGGTTGCGACCAAAGTAGGGTGCCACCAGAGTAGGGTGAAACCAGACTAGGTTGCGACCAAAGTAGGGTGACACCAGAGTAGGGTGAAACCAGAAAAGGTTGCGACCAAAGTAG